GTATGTTGCACGGGCGCTCAGCAAAGCCGAGCGGCAGCAGGAGATCAATCGCAAGCTGGAGGAGCGCAAGCGTCAAAAGGCCGGCCAAATATTTTACTATTAAATTGCAAATATTTGGTGCACTTTGAGCGGAAGGATCTATCGCCGTTGCGAGCGATGCGGAAGTAATAAGAAGTTTGTTTAGAGCCCCACATAACATACAATACACACCCACACCCACACACACACACACACACACACACACATACCTATATATGGTTATTTACAAAAAATTATATTGTGCATCAAGCAAAAGATCCAAACAAAAGGCAACACAGCAAGCACAGAAGAGACAACACACACACACCCACAAACATTTAGGCGTAGGCAGCTCACACACACACACACACCCCCCACATACACACACTTGAGGTCTGCAAAAGCAGAACTATCAAACAAAAAATTTAAATCACACTTAAAGAGATTTCTAAAGATTAGCAATTAATATGAAATCTTTTATAAACAAATTCGCTAGTTTTTCTTTAACTTCTTTTCGATTAGATGTTTGTCTCTTGTTGAATTTACCGAGCACAGAAGCTAAATAAAAATTTAAAAAAAAAAAACAAAAGAAAAGTAAAGAAAAGCAGCTTCTAGCTTCAAGAACAGAGTGCGTACACGCATACTTCTAATACATTAATAATACTTACTAAAATTAAAATAAAACACGCAATTAGCAAGTGAAATCTAGGCGAGCGGCGAAAACAAATATATAGCTACCATGTCAAGTCATGGGCAAATAATGAATATTTACACATACTATATTAAACAACAACAACAACAAAATTACAAATAATAAAAACAAGTACACACAATTGATGTAAAATTCTATAAACAATTAAAGCACCCACTTTACGTATATAAAGGCAACAAAAAAAAAAAAAAAAAAAACAAAGAAAAAAACAAAAAAAAATTATATATTACACGCTGTAGTTTAAAGGCGTTTATAATAATACTCACACACACACACACACACACTCCCCCCTTCCCCCACTCGAAACACATCCCCTTACTAATGCTAATTTTAAAAAATAACGCGAAACAATTTGAGAAACCTTAACAAAAGATGATAGCACGAGGGAAACTCTTGTGCGCAACTGCAGTTTACATGGAAAGAGTATTAAACTTTTAACAATTACAAAACATTTTTGTAATTTATTGTAAATTGTTTCAAGTAGCTAACTTCAACATTTAACACCAGGCAACAGAACACGAACCATACTCTAACGAATATAGTTTCAAATGCAAAAGCCTAAATAAATGAATGTGTAACACAAATGCAATGTTTACAATTTTTTAGAAAAAAAAACACAAATATTCAGAAACATATAAAGAAATGGAAAATAAGGGAAAGGCAAGCGTGTAAACATGCTCAGCACATTTATGATTAACCGGAAAATGGCAAATAATACATAAATAATTTAAGATTATTGAGCTTAATTTTTAAACATGTTTCAAAAAGGCAAAAAATCCCCCAAATAATAACTAAACACACGAACAATTTGTATAGTTAAAAAACAGGCAACAACAAAAACAAAACGCAAGAAAACAAAACAATTGAAATATCTAGTAATTAAATAAAAAGCGAAACCTTAAGAATTGCATAATTGAATACACATTTACAATAATTTATTATTTAACATTTAATTTACAATTTGCGTTTCGAGTTAAAAGCGCTGCTAACAAATTTTGTCAGCTAAGTAGAGCTAAAAATGAAAATAAAAATTATAATTTACAGGAAATTGATAGTATTAGAATGTACACACAGACACACACGCAATATGAATTTAGAAAAAAAAAGTAAACAAATATGCAAAAATGTTTAATGCAAAATGTACAAAAAACAAAAAAAAAAATGAAACTTTTCGTTTGCAAAGCAAATGCGACATATGTGTATTTTTATCATTAATTGTAATAAAACCGAAACTTAATTGCTTTTGCAGAATTTAACTTAAAAAGAAAACAAAATAAAAACAAAATCCGAAAAAATATGAATAGTATGAGAAAAACAAAAGTAAAACCTTGAAATATAACCTTTTATAGTACTAAATTTTTAGCCAGTACGAATTAAACAAAATGCAAAATTATACACGATACAATGCATATTTACAAGGCGAAACTCGAACAAAAAAAAAAAAAAAAAAAATCCTTAAAAAATGAACAGAATTCAAAATTTATAATAAATACTCGATTTTGCACATTTTGCTAAATGAGAAATTAATTACATAAATAACACTTATGTACGTTTTTTTTTTAATATATAATTTTTTGGGCAGCGACTCTCACGTTGAGTCCCCAAGCGACACACAACACACACACACCCCCTATACACACACATACACATAGTGCAGGCATATATACATACATATATTTATATATGTGTAATTCCATTAAAAACAAAACTCCTAATTATAAACATATAGAAAAGAAAAAAAAAAAGAAAAGGAAAATACCTACTTATTAAAAACCAAGACGATATATAAAAATTAAAAATGATGAAAAATCAAGAATGAAAAAGTAAACGCAGTAAAATATGAGAAATTTGAATAAAAATGCTTTTGCAAAAAGTGTTTAAAATTGAGATGAAAATGTTTCATTTAATTAATTATTAATCTTGGGATAATTCTTAAATAGTTAACAGAAATTTTTTAAAACGCAGCATAGCAAAAAAACGCACAAACTAGTAGAAAATAACACACAACATAAACTAGGGTCCGTATAAAAATTATTCCTCATCGATTATTTCTACATCACTATTGGCCGACTTCAGTTCTTCGATTTCGTCATTCAAGTCTTCAATTTGTTCCTCGTATTTACGCTTCAGCGAAGCAATCTATAAGTTAATACAATAATTTGCAGAATAAACAAACAGCATGGCGGGAGAAGCATTGACAAACCTTCGCCTCGAATTCGCGTTTGAGCATTAGAATCTTTTTTTCGTGACGCTCCTCGCATTGCTTCAGATTGGATTGTATGGTCTCCTCGAATGTGTCCGTTAGCTCCTTGCGCAATTTCTCCTCTTGCAGCTGCATCTTCAGAACATGCTCGTAAATCAAGCGATCGTTTTCGGCACGCAGGCTAGCAATTGATTATTGTACCTTACATTAAATCCATGTTAAGCAAAAAACATATCTACTTTACCTAATATTCTGGGCTTCCAGTTCTTCTATATATTGCTTATCTCGCGTCTCCGCTGACTGGCTGTACTCCACAAATGCCGAGTAGCGGGTATTGTGCTGCTTCACCAGCCTCTGTTTAAACATTATATTCTTGGCTATTGACGCAAAGCTTAGCACATTAAGATTCTCCTCGTAGTACTTATCCAGCGGCGTCACCGTCACAATCATGGCCAAACGCTCTTTGCCCAGCAGAGCAGCTTGCAGAAGCATTGTTAGCTTTGAATCCCGATACGGTATTACATCCGTATTGTTCTTTTTCTTTAACGAACTTGCCGCATCCAGGCAACGACCCAGCACCATCAGCGAGGTGTTGATGCTTTGCGCTTCCCTGAGACGTGAACCGATCGTGCCCGTTTTGTCGACACGCTCAGAGCCAGCCAGATCGCAGAATTTATACGAGTTCTGTGTGGTCATGCCCGATCGATGGTACTTTAATACATCCACAGTGAAGACACAGTGGGAACGACTAGAGTTGGTATTTACGGCGGTGGAAGCGTACGTTAGCCGTTGCTGTCCCAGTCGCAGCAACTTTAATGCTTCGTCGCTGTTTTTCACAAATATGCTGGTCAAACCCTTGATGAAGACTTGACCCTGGTTACAGACGATCTTTAGGTTTTTGCGACGCGGTTCGCACATATTCGCCTGCCGCGGGGGCACGGTCAGCAAGTCATAAACAAGCTCATTGTATATCTCGACAAATGACACCCAAATCATGACGGAGACGTCATCTGCGGGCTTTTCCTCGAATTCATGATCGCCTCGGATGACTTGCTGCAGGCGCTGGTGCTGTGCCGTCATATCTGGACATAGTGCCAGCAGTTGGCGACGTATTTGCATTTCCTTGATAGTGACATCGTCCTCCAAAATTATCATGCGCGCATTGATCAGCTTAAGCTTGGGCGTGGTATACAACTGCTTATTGTACATGGTGAATATGTTTTCCAGGGCGCGCGGTATAACGCCGGCCCTAACATTATCACCTAGAGTAGCAAACTGCGTAAACGTGGATTCAGAGCCAAGTTTTTTTTTTCGATTACGTACCAAGCAGCGTGTAGGTTTTGCCAGAACCAGATGTTCCGTAAGCCATTATCGTAACGCATTCCTCCTCCGAAATGCGGGGGCCCACACATTTGTCATATACATCCCGCTGACCAACGAGACTGTCAAATATGGTGGTGAAGCTGTAGTGCTTCTCCATGCGATTCACATTGTTGCTGCTGTTCTCGGTCGCGGCGGCACTGGTGATCAACACATTGCCACAGTCGGAAATGCCATATAGTTTGGATGGAGATTCCACTGGACGCAGACGTAAGAACACCTGTGGCCCCGTCTCCAACTCACTGTTGTCTGTCGAACTGCCATCTTCCTCGCCGTTTTTTGTGTAGTCCGATTCCGTATCCGAGCAGTCTGTGGAGCTGTCGCTGCTTTCTGGGATCACTTCGTCGAATAAGCGTAGCTGTTTGTTGGGGCGAGGTCGAAAACGGCGATCAATACTGGGATCGCGTGGCATTAAAAAGGAGCGCATCTCGCGCTTATTTCCCACATCCCTTTCCATTATTTCGCAACGGGCTGGTGAATTTTAATGTTTTTTATTAATTTGTTTGTCGTTTTTGGCGGTTCGACTTAAAGACGCTTTGTTTCCGTGCTGCCAACTGTTTTGAACTTGTTTTCGCTTTGCTAACTATCTCGAAGCTAGAGCTGGTCGGTCATACGATAACATCACATTTCTCATACTATCGATAACACGCCATGCTGACGAAAATATCGATTGATTGCACAGAGGTGGCAACATTAGCACAAGTGTGCAAAACAAAAACATTAATAAAGGCGGGAGCTCTTGTTGTCATAAATTTCTGATATGAGTAAAAAGGCAACACGCTCCACAAAACCCAAGGCGGATCCAGATGCGGTGCCACAAAAGGCGTGTGCCATAAAGAAAGTATTCTATATATCGGAAAAGTTGCTCGATGCTGAAGGCGACCATCGATTGTGCTTGGAGCGCTTCTATCATCCCGGTAAGGCGCGACCGGCTTTGTTTATGACGCTTCAGGAGCGGGAAATAATGGAGGTGCTAGAGTACGCAGAACCGCGACGCAGCTGGCTAATAAACAGTGAAGTGTGCTCCAACGGACGCACATACATGACGACGCCAATAGACGCCACGCTACTAGCACTTCATCATCTACGCAAGCATTGCTCCCAGCGCGCAATGTCGCTGGACAGCATAAGTGTGGATGAGCCGGATGCTAGCACAAATCGCCTGCTTACCAAATTCGTGAGCACCGACCGTCTGAAGTGTGTGGCCGATGTGAAGACCTCCGGCGACCTGATCTTCTATAAGTACAATAGTCATCGGGCGCTGGCATGGCTTGCATTGAAGACTCGACAAGTTGTGTCCGTGCTCAAGGCAAAACGGGTGCACTGTGGATTGGGCGCCAAATCGCAAAACTACGTGCGCAGCGAAAAGTTGGTGGAAGAAAACGATGTCAACGAAATGGACTACATGCGCATGGCCTGCGATTATGTGGGTAGATATTTGGATGCGGATTTACATGCAGAACTCACAAACTATCTGCACATACCAAGCGAGATTCAGGCACTAGTCGAAGAAAATGCCACGTCACAAAAACGCAAATCCCAGCAAGGACAAACCAGTGCAAATAGCAAAAAAATTAAACTCGCCAATGGCGATGATGCTGCTGCACAGCTACGAAACAGCAGCCTGATCGACAGTGATGACATAAAGGAGAGCATCACGTCGCCCAGCACACCTGCACCGCTCAAGGAGCGCACCATGACGGCTAAGGAGAAGGCGCTGGCCAAAGGCGCCAAGGGCAGCAAAAGCATTTCATCATTTTTCAAAGTTAAATAGTCTTAAGCATATAATAAGTTGCATTTTTTAAGAAGCATTGTTCAATATCAACTCATATTTTATTTATATAAACAAGCGGAATGATTGAAGTTCACTGACTTCTGTTTATGTCGCATCGCACGCACATCTTCAGATTGGGCGCATAAGTTCTTGTCAATAGGCTTGTTTAATGTTTGATTAACATGTCTGGCCTGGTACTACCAGGTTGTATAAACCAACCAACAGGTTGTATAAATATGACGCCTCAACTGTCGCAGGCAACAAATTAATTACATGTTTGCATAGCACGGCAGGTCTTATTTGATTGATGTCTCGTGGCTGCCTAAATTCAAATGACTGCGTACTTAATACCCTGTAATATACATCCATATGTAGGTTACAGACAGATCTCCGATTTCTTAAATCTTTTATAGAATACTTGTAGAATTTAGAGGGGACACGGGCTATGACCAGCTGCATTTATTGTGCGTTTTTATCCACAAGTGCATGTTTTTTTTTATATCATATAAATGATCTTTTTTAAACAGCAGCTATTCAAAAATGTACAGCAGCTATGCAAATAATTGATATAAGAACGTTTTCTCCGGTAAATAAATAATTTCTTTTTTATAGATGAAAAATAAAAATGGATTGTAAGATTTAAGCTAAATAAAGTTTAAAACAACACAACAAATTTTTACAGGGCATTCTCTAATCGAATGGCAATATGTTCGTTAAGTGTTGCCCTCTCACTGTTTGAAATTCAGTTACAAGGCGCTCAAAATGCAGCCCTGGTTTCTGAAAATCGCAACAGCCTGCCGATTGGGCCTGTCATTGACCAGTTTCTAAAGCCGTCAATTTGTTCAAACTTGAATTCTACTAAAAATTTATACTCTTATTGTAGACCAATATTGACTGCGCGATGTCAACGCCTGACGATATATTGACCATGGAGCTGGTCTATGCAGATCCTGCGGAACTGCCGAACACATTGTTCGGAGGTGCAGATATGGCTGCCAGCAGTGTGGAGCAGCTTTTCAAGATGCCGCTGCCATTTAAGGAAGCTAACAACGAGGATAAACCCATAGTAAATAATAAAATCGAGGCGGTATCGCCTGGCTATGAGCTCAAGTACGCGCTGGAGGGTCACCAGCGGCACATTACCGCCGTGCGATTTGCTCCTGGTGGCGACTGGCTAACCAGTGCATCGGCTGATAGTTTACTCAAGCTGTGGGACTTGGGTACAGCTCAGCTGAACAAAACACTGACAGGACATGTGCTGGGCATAAACGATGTGGCTTGGTCGCCGGACGGTAAATTCATGGCCAGCTGCAGCGATGACAAAACCATAAGACTCTGGGATCCGCACGGTGGACTTTGCCTGCGGACAATGGAAGGGCATGCGGGCTATGTGTTTGCCTGCAGCATCAATCCGCAAGCGAATCTAATAGCGTCCACCAGTTTTGACTGTACCGTGCGACTGTGGGATGTGCGTAACGGCAAATCGCTAAAAATTATACCCGCTCACATGGATCCCATTTCGTCCGTGGACTTCAATCGTGACGGAACACTCTTTGTTACCGGCAGCTTTGATGGCCTGGTGCGCATTTGGGACACGATCAGCGGGCAAGTGCTGAAGACGCTTATCGATGAAGATAATTCACCGGTGGGCTATGTAAAGTTTGCACCAAACGGCAGATATATACTCGCCGCCTATCTGAACAGCCAGATAAAGCTGTGGAACTTTCAGAAGCCCAAGTGTTTGCGCATCTACAGAGGCCACACGAACCTCAAGTATTGCATTGCCGTTAAATTTTCCGTTACAGCGGGCATGTGGATCGTGTCGGGCAGTGAGGATAGTTCCCTCTATATATGGAGTCTGCAGAGCAAGGAGCTTGTCCAGAAACTAAATGCGCATGCGCACGAGATCATCTGCACGGATTGTCATCCCAAATTGAATCTGATTGCAACGGGCGCACTGCAGAACAGCGAGAACCTCAGGATCTGGCAGAGCAGCGAGACCGTAATCGAATTAAATAAATAATTAATTTGTATTTAATTAGCATTTAATTGCATTTGTCTTTATGCCATCGTTGTATTGGTATTCTTATCGCTGAAGTCGTAACAATTGCAGTAATACAAGATAACATGATAATCAAAATCGCAAATCATATATGGCACAACACACACGCATAGTACTGTGTACATAAGTTTGTGTGTACATGTGTTTGTGTGTGTGCACTCAGTCTGGGCCCAGTCGGTCCGCCAAGCGATTAGAGCGTCATTCAAGTCTGGAGCGCCGCACTGAGCGAACGCTCGCCTCGTTATTGTAATTTAACGCGGAAGTCAACGCCGAACGCGATACTTAAACGAACTAACAAAATAAACTAAAAACAAAACTAACAATATATATAAAAATAATAAATTAAAAAAAAAAAAGAATCGTTGAGCTAGCAAAGTTATGAGAGCCAACGACAATGAAGGTGAGTTTGCGTTCATATTGCATTTGCCATCTGAGCAGTTGGCGGGCGGGGGGAGACGGGAATCCCCCCTCTCATCAGACATTTGTTGGGTTTTCCCATGCCGGTTAGAAAGCGAATGACATTCAATTTAAGATCTCTTCATTTTAAATTGAATAACAAAAGCCAATATTCAATTGATCGATGCGAAGAAATTTAAATTTCGAAATATTTAAAGCTCAAATTTTACAAAATGCAGCAGAAATTTGTTGCTGGCTCCAGCTTCAAGCTGAAGCCCAACTTTAAATTCCAGTGATATATAATATAGTTTTATAAACAGGTTATTGGAGTTATTGCTTGGAATTTCTGGGCGTAAGGATGGTCCGAGATCACATAAGATAATTGTTTGTAATTTATAATAATAATAATAAACCCAATTTCGAATGCGACTATTAATGATTTCATTCAGCTCATTCCGCACACATGTTTACGAGATAAGTATGTACGTGCCTTATTCAACAAAAAAGTTCATATAAAATCAAGCTTATCTCTTGGTTATTCGTGGCCCCCAATATGTTGTCCGAGTCCGTTGCTACTAGGCGGCATATTCGAATCGCTTGGATTTATGATTCGATTTCGCAACACATCCATTTGGATGAGGTGGCTATCGCCAATGCACGTCCCAGCGTCATAAATATGTTATTAACTCTAATGGATTTGTGATTCTGGTCTGGGCACTTGCAGAGAATCTTTACCGGGAGCAGTTGCCAGATGTGGCTACGCTTATCAGGGAGAGTGGACGAAAGTTTTGTCGGCCGGCGACAATCACCAACAAATTTCCGATACTAAGTTGGCTGCCGCGTTATCGGTCCGCGTATGTTGTGCAGGATTTTATAGCCGGCTTTACGGTCGGACTTACAACAATACCGCAGGCCATTGCGTACGGAGTTGTGGCTGGTCTGGAGCCACAATATGGACTCTATTCGGCCTTTATGGGCTGCTTCACGTACATCGTATTCGGCTCCTGCAAGGACGTGACCATTGGTAAGTCGGCAGAGATATATACTAGATCGGCTTCTAATTGGGTTCGCTTCCACAGCAACAACTGCGATCATGGCGCTGATGGTCAACCAATATGCGACCATTAGTCCGGATTATGCGGTGCTCGTCTGCTTCCTGGCTGGCTCCATCATTCTGCTCCTTGGCCTGCTCAATATGGGTGTTCTTGTGCGTTTCATATCGATTCCGGTCATAACTGGTTTTACGATGGCAGCGGCTACAACAATTGGAAGTGCTCAGATCAATAATCTCGTCGGCCTCAAGGGTAAGCTCTAAATTTTCCCATTTCTTATCGCCTATCAGGAGGGGTTTCTCCAATGTGAGTAATTCTTATAATAATAATTACGGTCATAAATTTGCATAGGTAACAATATGTCCTTTGATATCACCGAATATTAGGGCTCACTTTATAAAAACTATTTACATTCATTATTTACATTCATTGTTTTTAATTTTTTTTTTATTTATTACATTGATTAATAAGAATTTCACTTGCGTTAATCAATCACTTTTTATTATTATTATTAAATATTTTTGGCTTTTTGCCTAGATAATATCACATCCATAGACTAGCCTGGACATCAGTTCGTCGTCGTTCAGTTGTCTGATTTATTGGGTCACTCAGCCATTTCCCGAGGACTGATTTATAATCGTCAGTTTGCTCCCAACAATAGAATCTAGTTAGTATATTTAATAGTATCGTCTGATAAGCCTAAATATATCCGACTCAAAGTCGGAGACACAGATAAGAGCTGTAGAGCAGGTTGTTTTTTTGGGGACCGGATCAGGGAATTGGAATCAGAAGTGCCTAATGAGGTGCTTCTTATCTACCCCAAGTGAATTATGTTTGTTTTAGTTATTTCTTTTTGCCCTTAACAGGAATAGAACCCTCATTTACCAAAAATTAATGAGCAATTAGAGATTATAGCGCTAATAGCATAAAAGTCTTGCTAAGGGTCTTAAAATATCGTGGGGAAACTTAAGAGATATTTTGCCTAAGTCAGGGTAGAAAGTCTGGAGTTTATAGCAAAGCAACTTTTGTAGCAATTTTGAATTGAAGGAAAGGAAGTTTAGTTTCCCGAAATATGATATAGCCAAGGTTTAGCAATTGAAACATTCTTCATACATCATGGTAAGGAAATAAGTCTAAAATCTTTCGCTTCACAGGCCCCTCGAACGATTTGTTGCCCTCGTGGCAGCATTTCTTTATGAATCTGACCTCGATAAGACTCTGGGACGCCTTGCTGGGTGTTCTGACTTTGGTCTTTCTGCTGCTCATGAAGGTAAGCCATGTTCTCCTAGTAAGCATTCCAATGACAATCTTAGTAAGTTCCTCCTTTGCAGCAATTGACAAAGATCAAATGGGGCCACAGGCTGGTCTGGAAGTATCTTTCGCTGTCGCGCAATGCATTGGCCGTCATATTCGGGACATTCCTGGCCTATATACTCAGCCGGGATGGTTACCAGCCATTCCGGGTGACGGGCAATATAACGGCTGGCCTGCCACCCTTCCGTTTGCCACCCTTCAGCACAGTCGTCGATGGCGAGTACGTGTCCTTTGGCGACATGATAAGCACTGTGGGCGCTTCCTTGGCATCCATTCCAATGATTGCCATACTGGAGATTGTGGCCATATCCAAGGCGTTCTGTAAGTGAATGGAATTGAGGATTCAAGATCGGCTTGACTTTGTGCTATGCTTCTAGCCAAGGGCAAAATTGTGGATGCATCGCAGGAAATGATCGCCCTGGGCATGTGCAATATTATGGGCAGCTTTGTGCTCTCCATGCCGGTGACGGGCTCCTTTACGCGCACGGCCGTCAACAATGCGAGCGGGGTGAGAACGCCCCTCGGAGGAGCCGTAACTGGTGCGCTGGTGTTGATGGCCCTGGCCTTTCTCACGCAAACCTTTTACTATATACCCAAATCGACGCTGGCAGCTCTCATAATAGCAGCTATGATATCTCTAATGGAGCTGGAGAAAATCTCCGATATGTGGAAAGCAAAGAGTGAGAGCAAGGGATAAAAAAGAGTTGCATATGTATATGTCAAATGCCTTAATATCTTTTTTAGAACGCGATCTCTTTCCCTTTTTGGTGACAATTGTGACCTGTTTGTTCTGGAGCCTGGAGTACGGCATAGTCTGTGGCATTGTGGCCAATCTCATCTATATACTTTATAGCAGCGCTCGACCGCAGGTTCTCATTACGCTTGAGAAGGTAAGGGAACTCTCACGCGCCCAATCTCTATTAATATGAATTACATTTATTTATTTTGTTCCCCTTAGATCAATGGCTATGAAGTTGCCCTGGTCGATGTCAAGCAGAAGCTGGATTATGCCTCCGCCGAGTACTTGAAGGAGAAGGTTGTGGCTTATCTGAACCAGCAGGACTGCAAAATACTTCTAGTTGTGCTCAAGGGCCAGGAGATTAATTCCATTGATTATACAGTGGCTATGGTAGGCAGGAAGAGATTTATTTAATCTTTGATCTAACTAAACCCTTTACAGAACATAATATCGCTACAAGGCGATATTAAGGCTCTGAACTGTGATCTAATCTGTTGGAACTGGAATATTGGTTCCGCTGGCGTCGTGTGCCGGCTCAAGAGTGATATGCGTTCCATATTCAAATTTGATTACGAGCTGGAAGAGCTGGTCGCTTCCCACATTGATCCATCCAACACAGCATCCACCGTAACAATTGACACCGCACAGAGCCAAGTCAATGCGGCCTAGAGGGGTCAACTATTTAAGCTTACAGTATTTTATATATATAAATAAAAACCTTGTACTTACAAATCCGTCTATTACTATTTAAGATCTATTTAAGATCTTTAGGGAAATTTGTCTTTACAGCAGAACTGAATTAATGAGGTGGAGTTGAACAGAAGGCGGAAAGGTTAGAGGAAGTCTTGGAGGCAGAGTTTTTGGAGGAGCAACACCATCTCGAGTACAAATCTTAGGTGTTGTTCTCTCTCTATTTAAGCAACCAAAGGATAAAGGTTGGACACTAACTCCTTCCCATTCCATTCTTTTCCATCCCAGACTCTGAGGGCACGGCGACAGCGTGTCTGCTGGCTTCTCGTCTCATATTGTATTACGAGAGGTTTGGAGAATGCTTCAAAGAACCTCACCCATTATGTCATAATAGTTGCACAGCAAAATTAATTGAACTGTTAACCGCAGACAGTCAGGCAGACAGCCTATGCGTACGACGAGCTCCTTTCTCCGAACAATTGAGCCGTATGCAGCATTATTTATGGCTTTCTCCCAGGCACTTGAAGGGGTCTGCCCGACCTTCTGCGGTTGTGCGCCCTCTCAGAGAAAGAGAGTGAGAGAGAGAGAGAGAGAGAGAGCGAGTGAGAGGGAGAGAGAGAGTGAAGGTTTAGGGATCTACCTTTCACTGGTTGGGCAAGAAATACCAATTTTCTAGGAAGAGTTCAGCTTAGTTTTAATTACGGCATTTGGGGGTATCCAATTCATGGTAGCCCGTTTTGACCGGACTGTCTCCTATATATGTATATGTATATATATATGCTAGCGGGTATATCCCGGCCTTGCCATTGGCACGCGAACAACTTCACGAAAAAAATCATTAAATCGCACTTTCCACCGAGGAAGCTTTGATTTTGCGAAAAATCTGAAACACGTCTCAAATGAATTTTCATATAGATCTTTGGAAATGAATTTGAGGGCGAAACGTCACCCACCAAATCCTTGACCCCATTTCTACCAAGGAGGAATGGATTTTTCGAAAAGTGTGAAACACCCCTCAATTGAATTTCAACAAATGGAATTTCCCGAAACCCCGTCTTAACGTGTACCTTCATCACATAAGGTGACTACAGTGAACCTTACGGTTTGGGTTGTGCGTTGATCACCAATCAGTCAATCAGTCAGTCAGGACAAACAGTTGTATATATAGAGATATATGTATTGTATCCTTAAATCACTTGCAAATGTGTTAAGTTTTTATAGCTCCTCATTGAACCTTTTTGTAATCGGCACCAATCTCTGCTTTCCACCCGTGGTCTATAGGTCACCTTGGCAGATGACCCCATCTCATCTGCCAGGTTGTTGGGTCTTCCAGCTGTACACACTCCTCGTGTTGCAGCACAGCTTAACATCCGCCCAAGCCAACAATAAATCCACACTTCCGCTATTTATCCTGGCGCTGTGTGCGCTATTACATTCAAAGTCACATTTTGTGGTTTGACTAGGTAATCTCTATATATAAGACCGTAATGGCTGGTGATTAATGTATTGTAGGAGCTTAGGAGCTAAATATTCATAATAGTATTCTTTCATGGATCAAGTAGCAATAATATGGAGTTGTAAAAATGTTCACAGGTTGGAAAATGTGTACGAAAATAACATTTTTAATATTTCATCCATTTTAAGCTCCTGTATAAAGAGCTTCTAAAACAAATACAAATTTGCAGTAAATCTTCTGAATAATATAATTAATTGGGGCAAATTCTAAAGGTCCATCTTAAGGCCAAAAAAATGTGCGAAAACTGATAGAATTTTGGGAATTGCACATGTCTTAGCCGAAATCAACATTCGTATAAATATAAATCACGGATCAAAGTATTGGCTGAATAAATTATCCAACTGAACCACGAGGTAACGAGTTCAAATCTCAGGTCTTGATCGAAAGCCATTTTCGCTAGTGTTATTTGCCAAGTTTATGTTAATTATTATCATTAATGGCATTAAATACAGTTAACAATAAAGTACGGACATTTTCGGCAAGCCGAAATTTTAATACCCTTGTCAACCTTTGCCTGTTTTACTGATAAGTGAGAAAAATGTGAAGCCAGATATTCTTGGAAAACAAACTATTTTCCCATATAAAAACTCATTTTTAGACCGATTCTTCCTATAGAGCTTTATAATATAGTAGTGCGATCTAAGATATATCAGATATTTATATATTGTATCTCTAAGTATAAAACTGTTTTTCCTGACTGACTGACTGACTGACTGACTGACTGATTGATTGACTGACTGATTGTTGATCAACGCACAGCCCAAACCGTAAGAGCTAGGAAGCTGAACTATTTTTTTTATCAACTCGGCTGTTGATGATTGATTTAGAATATAAGTAAGTATATGCTTTATGGGGTCGGAGATGTCTTCTCCTATGCTCCTATACTTCCCTCTACAAGGGTATAAAAACTATTAAACTAGCCTATTACGCTAGCCTGGCATTAGAACCGGGATCTTCGTTTTCCAGTTTCCTGAAAAGAATAGATCCATTTGGCAGCTTATCTACAGACATCTGCAGTTGGGTGTACAGCTTTTCTCTAAGTGGAAATAATATGCTTTAAATAATAATAATAAAATATAGAAGTTTTTGAAACTTTCAAGTGGATCAAGTTGATATTGATTTCTGATAGCGTGAATGACGCGTGTGCTGTCGGGGTCGTATCCGGAGCAAGCGCCACATTGATTCCTTGGGATTAAGCAACGATATCAAATTTAGGACCAGGTGGTTACAGCTGGTTCCTAGCACGCTTTGCGCGCACTTCTGACATCCTTCGAAATTTCGTTAGGATCTTATGTAGCCAGCTACCAAATATAATACATTCCCGATAAATATACAAATTGATTCATTTTGGCTAGCGTAAACAAGGAAACGGCAGCAGCCACCAGCTGGACCAATCTGATGGCGGCCCCGGGGCCCAGAGATAATACGGATCGCACCATGTGTTGCCGCTTCCACCAATTGTAGCTGCCTCGTCGGACTATTACGGAGCGGGGGCACGCCTACAAGTGCCAAAAATAGGCAACATTGCGAGAGCAAGAGACAGCGACACAGATCGCAGAGGCAGTGAGAGAGAGAGAGAGAGAGTGTGAGAAGAATGTGTGTAAAAAGGAAGATTTTCCGAGCAGAATATTCAGATGTGTTTCAATTGTGCTGCGACACGGTCATAGACGGTCCGATCTTCAGAAAATCAGAACTTTAACGAATTTTAAAAAAATAAATAATATTTAAGATCGTGTTAGAGGTATTCCCTCGCGAAATCAAGCAGTGAAAGTGCTCTAAGAAATTAATTTATAGAAAATATATAAAGAAAAGGTTACCTAATGCCACGCAAAAAGCGCGCCTCCAGTCCCCTAGATCTGTACGACGATGACTTTGACGAGGATGCCAGCTCACACAGTAAGCACTAGTGGGCCACATAAACACCTCGCTCCAATGGCTAATCCACAAACAAAAATCTATTAGGTTCCCAGCCGCCGGTGCAACGGAATGCGGCAAATGCCCGGGAACGTATGCGCATGCGGGTGCTATCCAGCGCCTATGGACGTCTGAAGACTAAGTTGCCCAACATTCCGCCGGACACAAAGCTATCCAAGCTGGACACACTGCGCCTGGCCACGCTCTACATCAAGCAGCTAATCAATGCCGTCGAGACGGGCAGCGGCAGTGCCAATGCCAATCCAACGCACTCCGGCGCATCCCTAGCCGCTGTGCTGGACACGCGGAATCATGCGACGGATTGCGGCAACGATGCCGGCGGCGCCGTAGCGACGACAACTTTCAATTTCCACAATGCTGGACAACTCGGCATGGTAAGTGTCAACTGCAGAAACTCCGTGTCAACCAATTTGCGACCTGTGCCTGTGCTCATGGTGCGTATAAGTGATGTCAGTGGCACCACTTAGCGTTGCAGCAAAAGTGAATGGGATATATACCATATACATATATATATATATACAACATATATGCAACATATATAGCTGCTCGTGCCTGCAGCTGGACTGCTTCAAATGCTGACAGGTGTCAGCTCAGCTATGATAGGCGGCGTTGATAGGCTCAAACTCGTCCAGTTTTTTGTCAGACGTGCGACAGAACGCAATTAACCCAATTAAAATATCAATAAATACAGAAAATAACTATAGATCATGTTTTAGAAATGCCCGCTTAGTAGAAATCCTTCTTTTACACAGCTATTCCTCAGAGCTAAAAAGGTTTCATCTTTCGACATATCTTCGACATTTACTTTCATATATATAAAATATTTTCTATCATGTCAGAAGTGCGACAGATCTCGCAATTAACCCAATTAAAATATCAATTAATACAAAATATTTTTATAGATCATGTTTTAGAGATCCAATTGTCAAGCTATTCCTCAGAGGTGAAAAGGTTTTATGAGCCATTCTCTAGTTATTCCTTGCCGAATCTTTCGACAAATCTTTGACATTAACTTTTATTAATATAAAATATTCTTCAGTTAATCAAAATTCGATTTTATATTGATTACTGCCTACTCTTTAGTTAGCAAACCTACATAAAAACCGCCCAAAATCACATATTTTCTAAAATGTTGGGCAACATCTGCTCAAGTGCTTCTATACCTTCCCAAGGTGTAGGCCCCCGTCCGCCCAATTTTTAAGTACAACAACAACAAAGAGAAACAGAAAAAAATCACATTTTGTGATTTCAGTTTGTGTCTGGCTTTCCTGTAATCAGATACTTTTGTGAATTTCAAAAATACTAAATATGAGTGACAGACTCACACGGAGACATCTCCGTTCGGCGCGTCGAAGCGTCGGGCTAGGAACATTGGTTATTCCTCGCAAGTATTTCTTCTTGTTATTTTTAAAAAGATGCATGACTTTGAAGCGACCAAAGTGAATGACATGCAAGGGAAAATTGTCGTTTCTGACTCTTTGCTAGATATTAAGTGGTATTTAATAAAACAAGTCCAAATTCTCTAAAGCGTTCAACTAGAAGATATCCTGTATCCATTTGACCAATATGATAAAAATAACCTAAACAAAGGTTAAGTAACTTCTTGGGTCTTCTTATAATAAAAATTGGGGTGCACATAAGAATGTATAAAAGGCATGAATTTACCTATATATATTAGGAATATCATCTTGAAGAACTTGAAGAAAAGAGGATATATAACTTGTCTTCCCCGAATTCGGGGTCTATGACCATTAGACGATCTAGTTTCTCAGCTTTAAAAAGGAAAAAATGATCAACATGTGGAAAACCTACTCACAATTCTGTAAAAAACTCCGTTTGATATACAAAAACCTATATTCAAAACTTCGAATCTCTAGTTCGCACAGTATATATCTCTGATATCGATGCGTGTATTCTAAAAGGGTTAAATGGACTCATCCATTTTTAGCTAATCAACGAAATACTCTTTATGTGATTAAAACTACCTCTTTTTATATAAAATTCGTTTTTTATACATTTTTAATATGATATTTTAACTATTGGTACTATAATTGGGTATTTCTCTACACTGAGGAATTACCCAAAAAAAAAAGTTTCACAAATTTCAACCGATCCGTATATACGCAATTGTTTATTCATTTCACTGAAGTTGAATGCGTGAAAATTTTCAGCAAATATTGTGCTTCGACGGCGTCTTGTGCCCATATGGTGGCCGTGTTTTGTTTGCATTTGTCAGGACCGTATCGCGGCTTTCTAAACAGCCGCGGCACCCTAATTTATCTCGGTCGCACGCGCCGCCCTCAGACTTGAGGGCTGGGTGGGAACAGAGCGAGAGAGAGAGAGAGAGAGAGCAATCCATTACCCATTGGTTACCCGGGGCTGCCGATGAGTGTCTCTTGTCTTTGGCCTGTTTATATGTTTTTATAGATACGTTAATGACGCTGTTATTGTTCAACTATGAAAACAATTCCCGAAGAGCCACTAAAAACAATCAAAATTGTATAAACAAACAATGGCGCTGTCGCTGTCGGCTTGTCGTAATATATTGTTCCCTTTACAGCTGTGCGGTTAGCCCTAATCACAGCCATGCCTTGCAACAATCCTTTATCGACTTGGGCTTTAAAGCATTAGGTTTTCCCAAGTTAACTCATCATATTCGCTTATTAATTTCACAGAGCTGGCCCTTTGAGTTTCATCAACATTTGCAACATGGCCACAATCGCAACAACAATTCCAACCTGACATTCACCTCGGCGCGCATGGATTGGCAGAATTCTCAAACGCAATCCTATCCGAAGGCGCCACGACATGAGGCTCATATGGCTACCGATGTTAACTATACACAGCTTCAGGATGCACATTGGTATCCAACGGATATGGGCCTGCAATTGGAGCAGTCACGTGGTGGCAATGGCTGCTGTGCCTATGAATCGGCTGGTCTTGGACAGCATCAGCGCGGCATTACAATATCAACTAGTCAGGCGCATAGCCTCTAGTGGGGTGCATATCTTGCATTTACTTTAACTGTCGTTCTAACTGAAATCGTATTAAAACGTGATTTTATTCTTTTCGTCATTGTATCGCACTGTATGTATGTATGTTATGTAATTTACTAAGCCAAAGACTAGTATTATGTTTAACTTTAACAATATTATTTAGCCAATAAACATAAGCAACAGCAACGTAACAGAATCACGTAAGCATTTTGTATTCAAATTTAATAGTCAGCCATCTGGCAACTCTATTCGCGTAATTCACTATCACGCAGCCCTGGCGCACAGCTGCTTGCACACAAACAAAGAGCCCCAACGACAACAACAACGACAGAAGTATCAACAATAGATTAGCGTATGCGCTCATATGGCGCAACAACAAAAGATTGATTGAAGGCAATTATCGCAAATAATCCCACTAGAAGCTGGGTACAAGTGTATTTCAATTCCCAACCACACGATTAAAGTTCACTGTGCTTAGCAGATAAGATTTGCGCAAACGTACATACATATGCATGCATTAACGGCGCTCAAAGCAAGTACAACACATACAGTTGTTTTTCCATGTTAAATTTAGTTAGTACTCGCTCGTCGTAGGAGACGCACGTGAAAGTTTTCTTTGTGTTAAAGAAATAAACTCGACTGCGAACCCGTTTTTCGAAGCAATTTAAGCAAAATGCCAGCACTGGAAGTAAATCCTGATTTGCAAAAGGAGCGCAACACAGCGACCTTTGATCCAAAAGAGTTTTCAATCTTTTGGGCTGGTGGCGCAGACAAATACAAAGAGAAGAAAGCCTTGGGTAAGTCGACTCTCCAATACGTGTACTCAGCATTTTTACTCTTTTAATAAAATTAACTGGTTTTTAAGCTAGACTTTAAGAGCCACACGCTCAATCGTACTCAACCGCATTTCGCAATTGGCAGCAATTAAATGCAGCAGTAGCATGACACGGCAAATACCTTTATAAGATAGGCAAGCGACACCTATGCAAATGTAATATGGCCATAAACAATTAAACTTTTGAACTGTGCTTAATATAGGACTTGATACATTTTTCTTATCTGGCAGCCTTGACAATGTGTAAGTTTTCTGGCAACCCATGGCCGGCCCTCTCGGCGTCTTTGTTTTGATTTGTATCTTCCATAGTTTCCCATTCATTAAGTTCGCGACGGTATTTAGCCCCACAACTAATGCAAATTTTACGCCTCAATCGTTAGCTCATGTCAAATGCGAAATTTTATGATCGTAGCTTACAAATTTATAAATGATGAACTTTGCACAAGTAACAGCATCTCCAACAACTAGTTATGAACTGTAGACTTTGATTGCACTATTTAAGTCACATATTTCCCATAGCTAAGCAGCACTTGAAAAGGTTATAAATCTTCGGTATGGGGTTGATAAGCTTTATCTAGTCGATTTGGCTTAATCGCTTATACCAATAATAGAACAGTAGTCCGGCATAATTGATAGATAGATAGATGGAAAATGCGCTTACGTGTTAACAGCCCTGTCATTGTCATGCACTTCACATATCTGTTGTTGCAATTGCAGAGAAAATGTTTCTGGAGGATCCAGAAATGAAGGATGATCTGCCTACGTCATATTTGTCCCACAAGGAGTTGTACGAGAACAGTTTACGCAAAGCCTGTCTCATTGGCGAAAAGATACGCAAACTGCGCGCTGATGGCGAGGACGGCGTAGACACATACAAGTAAGGATTACAATTAATCCTGACTGCATTTTGGTTATATTTTTATGATTCCCTTGTAACAGTGCTCTGCTGGGCGGGTCATTGGGCGCGGCTATACTTAAGGAGGGCAATCCCATATCGCTGCACTACATCATGTTTGTGCCAACTATTATGGGTCAAGTAAGATTTACCTTTGTTTCACTTCGTTTCACATTCAAATAACCCAATATATGTTTTCCAGGGCACCATGGAACAGCAGGTGGAGTGGCTGTCCAAGGCCTGGGATTGTGAGATAATTGGCACCTACGCGCAAACTGAACTGGGACACGGCACTTTTTTGCGTGGCTTGGAAACGCGCGCCGATTACGACGCCAGCACAAAGGAGTTTGTGATTAACACGCCCTCACTAAGTGCTTACAAGTGGTGGCCCGGCGGCTGTGAGTATTTAAACGCGGGTTAAATGAACCTACACGACACTAAAATATCATCCACAGTGGGACATACGGCGAACCATGCAGTTGTCGTGGCTCAGCTGTACACCAAGGGCGAGTTCCGTGGACTGGCGCCTTTTATTGTGCAGCTGAGGGACACAGATACGCATATGCCAATGCCAGGCATTGATATTGGCGACATTGGCACCAAGCTGGGCATGAAGGGCGTCAATAATGGTTATCTGGGCCTGAAGAATGTGCGCGTTCCGCTTAACAATATGCTGATGAAGAACCAACAGGTGCTGCCCGACGGCACCTATGTGGCGCCCAAGAATAGTGTCCTAACCTATGGCACCATGATGTTTGTCCGATGTGCACTTATTAGGGATACTGCTCAGAGTTTGGCCAAGGCGTCCACAATTGCAACGCGATATGCGGCAGTTCGAAGACAGAGTCCCATTGATCCGAAGGAGCCAGAGCCGCAGATTATGGAACATACCACACAGCAACTGAAGCTATTCCCGCAGATAGCCAAGGCAATTGTGTTTAAGACAACCGGTGATGGTATTTGGAACATGTACAATGTGCTGTCCGGGGAAATTGAGCTGGGCAACTTGGATCGTTTGCCCGAGATGCATGCGCTCTCCTGTTGCCTGAAGGCCATTTGCAGCGCGGATGCAGCAGCTGGCGTGGAGACCTGTCGTTTGTCTTGCGGCGGCCATGGGTATATGGACTGTTCCAACTTTCCGACCATCTATGGCATGACGACGGCTGTGTGCACCTACGAGGGCGAGAACACGGTAATGTTGCTACAGACGGCACGTTATTTGGTCAAGGTGTACGGCCAGGCGCTGAGCGGGGATCAACTGGTGCCCACTGTGGCCTACATCAATGAGGCGATCAAGCAGAAACAGTTCGTCTATTTCGATGGCTCCATGGAGTCAATTGTAAAGGCATTCCAGTTTGTGGCCGCCAAGTGAGTGTGTTTAAATATTTATGATATTTAAGTGAAATGTAAAATGAATTCCAATGTAGCAAAGTACGCGTCGCTTATGAGCAGATCGAGCAGCGCCGCCGACAGGGCCACAGCACGGAGGTGGCCGCCAATCTCAGTGGCGTATTCCTGACAGGCGCAGCAGACGTAAGCAGGAACTAGGACATACATGAGTTATATACAAAACTAAACTATATACTATTCTTTTAGCTGCACGGTCGCGCATTTTTGGCGCAATCAGCGTACACGGAGCTGATGGCTGTTTCGCGACAAGTTTCGCCCGCCCTGGCCGATGTGCTGAAGGTGGTGCTGGAGCTCTACCTAGTCGATGCCTGCCTTAATCGCATTGGTGACTTTTTACGCGTAAGCACATACAATTATATAAAGTAAATTGCTTCTGTACTTACCCACAATGTATGATTGTATGTAGTTCATTGACCTGACTGATGCAGATGTTACCAAGTTGGAGGTGCGCCTGGAGAGCTGCCTGAAGCGTTTGCGCCCAAATGCTATTGCTCTGGTCGACAGCTTTGATTTGCACGATCGCGTTTTGGACTCCGCGTTGGGTGCATACGATGGCAATGTGTATGAGCATATTTTTGAGTCAACCAAGAAAAACCCGCTCAACAAAGAGCCGGTGAACGCAGGATTCCACAAATACCTAAAGCCCTTCATGAAGGCGCATTTGTAAAATAGCGTTAACTTTTCTTAAGGGGTATTTCGTTACTGTTGTAGGCCTGTTAAATCGCCGTATTTGTATATATCATTAAAGCTTATTCGTTAATTTTATATTATTTAGTGTGAAATTGTTTGCTGAAGTTATGTTTGGTACTCAAAGCACTTTTGTTTTTATTGATATCTGGATTGTTCTATGTCGATAGTGCTCAAAGTTCCTTAATCCTTAGATATACACCAAGACTTATGTGCATGAATCTAAGCGAATCCTCCACATTCCTTGGCTTGATATAGTCCAAGCACGAAGTCCAAGTTTTGAGTTTTAATAGAGCTTACACTAAACGCTTTATTAAAGATGGGTTTTAATTATAGTTTTTAGATAGAGTGACTGCAACTCCTTTTTGTTTTAACTAGCAGCTGTCGATGGCGGCCAATCGAATGCTGAACAGAGCACAGCCATAAAGCCTTCGGTTGTATCGCTTATGAAGCACCAGCTGGATTCTTGGCGTTGCGTTGTGCATAGAGACGTCGCAACAGGCGATTGCCGCAAAGGAATGTGAATACTGCGATTGGTATGAGCAGGCGCAGTGTTTGGAACATGTTGAGTTGCAGCCAGAAAACGAAGAAGAGTGCCAAAATGCCACCAAAGCCCAAATGGAAACCGATGGTGCTGGGTGCCAATGTAAAGTTGGACACATTAATGCCCAATTTGGCCCAAAACACAAAGAGCAGCACTAGCGGAGTTATGCACAGGCCGGTGAATATATCAGATACAATGCGGGGCGGGCGCTTATCGGGCACGCGGAATTGATGCACAATCTCTGGCAGAGGTCCCCTCACATGGCTGGGCTTGATATCTGTAAAATGTTATTGAATTAATATACGGAACGAGTTATGCAGGCGGCTACACTTACCTCTGTCTGGCTGGTTGAATTTCAGCTGAACATCAGCCAGCAGCCACTCGAAGGAGTTGGACAGCGAGGCATCGCCGATAGTTAGATAAATGTTGTACAAGCCGTTTTGATAGTTGAAATTCTTGCCCTGATTGCCCACATCCATATCAAATTTGTAGGCCTTGCTGCTGTCCTGCTCCGCAACGAATATGATTTCCTTGTCCGTTTCCTGGTTATACAAACGCACAAAAGCCTGATGCACGGAGATGGGTTTGTTGTTGCTCTCATCGACCAACAGGGCTTTAAGCAGCAGCTTTTGTGTGCTGTCAGCCGAGAGTGTGTCCTTCAGCTTGTTGGGAAAGCTGACGCTCTGCTTGCGTGTAGCTGCACTCGCATCTGATTCGGCGATACCCAACTCCAGGGTTTGTACCTTAACACGTCCAAGCACTTTGAATTGCAGTTTCTGCTTATAAACGCCATCGGCATTCAAGTCCGCCTGGTAGATGCCACGTGCTGGCTTCAGGCTGCTCAAATCGGCAACGTAAGTGGTTTTGTCTGAAGACTTGGAAACTAATTGAACCTTTTCCGCCAACACTGAGTTATCCTTCTTGACACTAATTTTGGCACTGAGGCTCTGCACGGCTGGTGACAGAGGTTTGCCGAGCAAATCGACAATGGCTACGTTCAATGTGGGTGACTGCGACTCAAGTTGTCCATTTCCAATTAGCTGTATGCAGATGGGCGATACCTTTTCCGTGCTGCTGATGGTTTTCAACGCCTCGATGAGCACATGGGCTCCTTTAGCGGATTGCACAGAGCGGCGACTCAGCAAATAGTTGGCAAATTTAACGGCCTGTTCGGGCGTAACAGGTGCTGGCTTGTTGAAAGCCTTCGAAACGCCAAAAACGCCGTTGAGTATCAAAGCCGTAATGCTTAGCCCGCCCTCGAATTGCAACAGTTTGCCATCGACCTCGTCAGCCTGCACAACAGCATCCTCGATGCGATTGGCAATGAAACTGGCGCTAGGGCCCAGTTGGATAGCCACATTGAATGCATAACCGAGACCGCTCAGCGTGTCATCTCGTTTCAGCAGTTCCTGCAGACGTTTCACAATTTTCGACTGAGTTGCTTCGCTAACCTGAACGCCGAGTGCTTTATGAGCCACTACGCGATAGTAAATCTCCTGAGTGGTGGCCAGCTCCAATTCCAGTGAGCTGTACACCTTGGACAGCAAAGATTCAGCGAGTTTTGCTGTGCAACGCAGGTTCCTGTGGGCGCCAATTAGGTAGTAGTCTTTTTCGAAGTTCTGAAAATAGGCAAATGGTCAGAAAAGAATTGGATGAGAATTAAAATATGCTCACATTTAGTTTGGATTCCGCATGCAGCGTCACAATCTTCTGGCATAGCGCTTCCTTTGTCGCAGCATCAGTTGTTTCAATGTTTAAGCTGGCGAAGAAAATCGCTTGCAAATCGTTAGAACTGAGCCCATCGACGAAGACTTTTTGCAGGCGGGTGAGATCCTTTGGCCCCAGATGACTATCGACTGTGCGCGTACTCCAAGTCGTTGCTGCAGCGCATAGTACGCATAGGATCATGAAGCCTGTTGTTAAAAATGAAATAATAAATATTTTTTTAAATGTGTTGGCCAAGTTTTTGGGCCGTAGCTGCGAAGTCAACGCCGACGCCGGCAATAGCGACAGAGAACGAGACAGCGACAGCGACAGCGCCTATGCCGGCGTTTTGGACCGCATACACGAGGTCCGTTTGACTTTGCCATTGATTTTTAACTATAAAAAATAACCTACCTAATTTCAACATTGTCCTATATTGTGTGGCGCTGTTAAACGCAGCTTATATGCTATAGGATAATAAATAAAAAATGCGTAAATAGCCTGCACCGCCTGTTTCAGCTTCGATATTTTTTACAGACACGTCAGCGGCAGTGTTGTCCTATACGCACAAGAACAAGGGCTGGCGACTTCGCTACAAAACAGTGTGTACACTCTTGTATAAGTTAAATGTGCCAAACAATCGACCGGTTATCGGCTAATCGATTAACAGCAGAAAGCCTCTCTATTTATGCCGTTATTTAAATAGCATTTATTTTAAGATAAACTAAGATTTTGCATGCTTAGCTGTATGTGCTGCGTTTGTAACACATACATTTAAATTCACACAGAACATTAAAACTGAACTGAACAATAACGATTTGTTTTTGATTAGGGTCCAAACTTCTCGGTACATTCCGCTAATGGCCTGGTCACAGAATACTTCACTTTGAAAGTCTTCGAACTGTCGCCCTCATGATTCCATAGAGTTATGGCCGTGGTGCAGTAGAGAGGATACTTGTTAACGCGCACTTCCAAACGCTCCTCGTCCTCCGGTGGCTTATCCTTGCAGAACTGTTCAAAATACTCGGTGTGGTTGGGGCCCAAGTCTTCCTTAACTGAATTCTGACGATTGTATTCGTCCAAACATTCCTTCCACAAGAATTGCTCCATACGATTAGCGCGTGTAACTGTAATATAATGGAACTAACCAAATCATACACTCAAATCTTGACGAACAATACGCCCTTACTCATCTTTTTGTTTCTATAAGGGGTGCCGAAACTCTCCTGAGTTTCGGTAATCTCAGCGGGGCAGGGCCCCTTGCCTAAGATGCGAAAATTATCGTTCCGCTTCATGTTTTAGCGCTTTTTAGTGTAAATATTAACGAAAATAATTTATTATTGTGATACGAGCTAATATGCGACAATGAAAAGTGCTTGACTGCTTTATCAGGCCAAACATATTCGGAGCATGGCAACGGGGCAGCTAAGCAACCGACGCTTGCTCTGATTGATCCTGTTGGGCGGGTGCCTCGTCCTCCACGATGAGCGTGACATCCTTGGGACGCAGTATACAGTAGTAGACCACAATTGTGGCCAGAAACAAGATGCCGCTGTAGACGATCCACTCCCAAATGAAACCGAACCACCACGATTCGAACTGTTCGTTGGCATACCAAATCGCTGACATGGTTATGTTTTCCACCAGGATGAGCACCAGATAGCAGCCATACCATCTCCTTACGCTCTTGAAGCACACACGAAACTCGAGCAACACAAAAATGTAGACATAGCCGAGCAGCAGATAGAACAATGAGCGGCTCCAGCTGCCGCGGCAGCGTGTCTCCAGCGCCAAGGCGGCCAGCATCAGGGCATAGTGCACGCCCACAATGATGAAGAAGGCGCGCGGATAGAAGACACAGAACGTGGCCAGCGAGAGCATGCGCATTGTGATGAACGCTATCCAACCGAAGAAGGCAACGGTTTTCCCCGAAAAGTCGTCCTGCTGGATGCCGTTCACAATCTTTGTGGGCCGCGGAAAGTAGAAATCTACCACATCCTTGGGCGTAACGGGCGTGCCCTTTGGCGTCTGCGCCACGACCAATGGAGTGCGATCATCGCTAGGCTCCTCGTTGACGCGTCCCATGAGCAATTTGGGCGGCCGCGGGACGTGCTCCTTGATGTACAGCTGTGCATTGACCAGCAGCATATCCTTGAACGTCTCCAGCTGGGAGAGTGGACGCGTCACGAGCCGGCTGCGTCTGTGTTCAGTATCCGACACAGTGCGTCGCAGCTCTGGCGCGGCCGTCGGCGGACTATTGTCGGTGGGCAGCCTCAGCATGGGCAGCGCTGGCGGCGCCGTGGCGGGCGGCGGCGGAGGCGCTGGCGTCTCGGGCACTGTGTCCAGCACCTCGATGCTATCCAGATGCTTGAGCTCTTCGCGTCGCATCTGCAATTTGGGCCTGGCCTGGTATATCTTATCATCATCCGTGATATTGCCGGCAGCTGCTGTGGGCGAGTGCAGCAAGGCTTTTGTTTCCAGCGTCTCCACGCCGTCGTTGTCCACCTCATCATATCCGCTTATGTGCAGCTCATGGCTGCCAATCTGGCTGTCCATCTGTCTGGCATGAAAGTTCTGCATGATCTTCTCCGATTGCGGAAAGCTTGTTGCCAGCGTGCGCTCCGATTCGCGTTTCCTGCGCTCAACCTCGCCGCACAGCCGCTCGTTCTGCTCCAGCCGACAGCGCTGTGCCTCCACCTGCTGCGCCGTTGCCCAGGGATAGTTACGACCCACGCGCCGCTGGCTCTCGATGCGATGATAGCTGGTCGTGATCCCGGCCAGATCTATGGCGGCAAATACCAGGCACATGCCCTGCAAGGCGGCTGCAATGAAGACATTCAGTTAAACCCGACTCGGATGAAAACCAATCCTCTATACTCACATGTTTCGTAGTTGCGAAAGATGTCCTGGGCGAGCATGTGGTACATCTGCAGTATAATCTGTGGCGCCGCCTGCGCATAGGCCTGGATCAACAGGTACAGCTCAATGCTGGAGGTTTGCGTCGCCTTCGACAGGCACTTCATGCGCTCCACATTGTCGTCCGCGTGGAAAAGCGCCTCAACAGACCAAAACAGACGCTTGATAAGCCTGGAGAGGATTATGACGATGGAGCAACCACATATTCGTCTTTAACTCACCTGTAGAGCACGGCGAACGGGAAGAGGAGCAGCTGCAGCAGTCCCAGGCTGCAGGCTAAAAATTTATTGCGAGTGGCGTCGTTGGCGCTGCTGCGCTGCTCCCTGGAGCTGAGCACCAGGACGCAGGTGAGCAGCGGTGGCACAAGCACCAGTATTAGTGTGCCGGCTCCGTAGCCGGGCTCATGCTGCCGGAAATGCTGATAGCTCAAGGCCAAGTCTGTAGACGTCTGCAGCATGTAAACCAAGAGCGCCAGGCAGGTGGGGATTATGTAGGAGACATAGATGCGCGTATGGCTGCGTATCGCATAGCCCAGTATATGACCTGGCGGACTGGCCGCATGACCCACCTCCACGCCCATATCCAATATTGTTTTGTATACCTCTTCTTAGTGCGCAGCTGCTCTTCTTCACATGCTTCGATTGCAAAATTCCTGACGATACTACGGATCTATGAGTAAGCGTCGCTCTTTCGGCTCGCTTATCAATTTGGCCGTAGATTAGATAACCAAGTTGAGTTGGTCGCGTGTTTGAAAACCCGCCAAGGTTTGTTTATGTTTACGTGCCCAAGTTTACTCTCTCTCTCTCACAGATCTTCCAGAGCGCCGAGAGAAGCGAAGCGAGAAGTGTTGAGAGCAGATCTTGAATGGGTTGCTTCTGGTATTCTTTATACCCTTTTATTTTCTTTGCAAATAAGTCTCATAGTCTTAAAGCCATCCTCTTGAAGCCTTGCATAGGACCCCTATATCTCGTAGTTCTTATAGGAATTATCGGTCGAAAATTAAATGAATTCCTTTTTAAGGTATATTGACTAAATGTGGCATTTGCGAGTTTTACAATATCGGAATATATTATATAGGAATTATAAGTAGAAATATTATTTTTTGAATGGAATAACATCTTTTAAGATATCTTCGGATTGTTATATGGCTGCTATAGTAACAATGAAATAATCATTCGTTTCTGATTATTTCTTAAGAATATAAACATTTCAACTTCTCGCTTCTTCTCGTCTGCTTTTCGCGTCTACTCTGTTAAATAATTAAAGTAAAAGTTACCTTGTGGTAAATACTAAATAAAGAATAGCAATAAGAAAAGTTAGCTTTTGTTAAATACTAAATAAGGATTAGGATTTGAAATATTATAAACTTTAGGTTGCAAACTATTAAAACTTACTTGTAAATTTTACCACGAGAAATGAGATTTTCAGATGGTAAAGCTTATGGTTTTTAAATAGAATAAATAGATTGTCTGCAATACATATAGGGAAAGTATTTTTCTAAAATTTAAATATATATAGCCCTATATTTTGATTCTTGAATAAATTCTATGGCATAATATTATATAGAATTCCGATGTTAGATAAGATCATATGCCAAGAGCTCAACAATTTCAGTGCCCCATCAAAATCTATTGAAATTCGTATTTATAAGTAAATTCTTTATTTAATTAATTTTCTGATGAATTTGCCTAGGAATCGTACCAGGTCTTCTTCATCCAATTGGAAGGCTTGCATGGCTCGTCGAGCACCACAAAGGAGTCCTGTTGATTCTCCGTGGTCTGCTTGGCCTGGCGGCGACAGCCGGCTGCATACTTGGGATTGCCCTCAACGATGGAGGACTTGTCTCGGCATTTGGCCGCATTCTGCAGCACGGAGCCACGCCGACCATATCTGGCAGGTTTCTTGGAGCCACCGGTGGCCACATCCTCGAAGCTCGGCGCAACTGCCGCCGGCGGCTCCTTCAGCTGACGCTGTCGCGAAGGACGTCGTTTGATCTGCGACTGCAGCGGAACGCGGGCGGCATCCAGCGAAGAGTCGGAGCTCTTGCGCAGATTACCAGCTGGCCGCTCCCGCTCCCGTTCCCGCAGCTGGTAATTGTACTGGGCGCGACGATACTCGGGCGTGGCGGTCAGCTCGTTGGCAGTCATGCTGCTGGCCGCGGGCAACCGAGGACTGGTCCCGGTCGCCGTGGTGGTGTTCGTGTTCGTGTTGGTGGTGCTGGTGGTGGGCAGCCGGAATGAGGAGACTGGCTTGTGCAGCACCGGCCGGGCGCGTGGAAAGTCCAGATAGTTGTTGCGATACTCGGGATTAAATTCGATCTTGCCGCGCAGACGCAGGCACGGCTCGCGCACCTTGCCGCGCTCCGGCATCTCGGTGATGTGCGGATCACGGAAGCTCTCGTAATACTCGGGCACCTCTTTGGTGAACTCGCCGCGTGGCCGCAGATGATCCTCCGTTTTCAGCGATTTCTCTTTGGCCATGTGCTTGGGTGGGACATTAAACTTATCGCGATATTCGGGCAAATCGCCGCCGCTCGCCTTTGGCTCGTTGGCGCTGGGCTCCCGCTCCGCGCCAGAGATGTGCAGATTGTCGTGCTTCTTGATGGGCGCACTCTTCGAGTAGTTGGCGTACATCTTGAAGCTGTCCTGGTATTCCGGCACAGCATGGAACTCGCCCTGCATCCGGATGCTGCTGATCTGCGGTATCGAGTGCGCCTTCTCGATGGGAAACTGCTCCACATACTGACGCCTGTACTCCGACGGCTCTGGCTCGTATTGTGTGTCCTCGGCTCGCATTTGCAGGTGGCAACGATTCTGCTCCCGGGCGGCCACATCACGCTTGAACTTGTCGCTGGTCAGCCGATTGGACGGCTCCTTGTCGTCGCGAAACATTTCGCGTGGCAAAATTTGGGCGCCGCTATCCACCATGGGATGCGACAGATACGAGGAGCTCTTCATGTTCCCGTCTCCATGCGTGCCGCCCAGCAGCCAGTTCTCCGGATTGCGCACTGGATACGTGCGTGCACTGCAGGGGAAGAGGAGGAAAATAGTTATCTATGCATACGATTTTTGAGCTCAGCTTACAACTGCAGATCCTCGGGCGTATACCAGTGATATTTATCCTGATGCTCGGAGAGCAGCTGCATCAAGCCCTCCAGCCGCAGCGATGTGGCACGCCTCAGCAGGGTACGCGGTGGCCGGGCGTCGCCGTGGCCCTTGCAGCAATACTGCCTACTGTACTCGGACTTCAGTGAGCCGAAGGCAATCGTTGGCTCCTCGCTGTTGGACAGACAGAAGTTGCTGTGCGTGTGCAGCGGGACGGGCTGACGGCGCCGGAAGAACTTGAGATCATCAACGGCAATGTACTCATGCGGCTGGCGGATGCTAAAGCGATCCCTGTGCTTGTGGCTGGCTGCAAGGTCCGGCTCCGAAAACGAACGACTCCAACTGAACTCCGCCCGGGCACTGCGGACAGAAAAATGCTTTTAGCCACAAATTTGCCAATTGCCAGACTTCAACCCAACCTCTCGGGTCCTTGGCTACGTTTGGCGTCGGCGTTGCCATTGGAACCAAATAACAGGGAATCGAAGCAAAATCGCTAATAATTGCAAAAAAAAAAAAAAAAACATAGAAAATGTGCTACGTGGAAATAGCTTAGCATGAGCATGCACCGCCCAGGCATACCCTATAAAATGTTACTTATTTAAAAAGGTTTCCCGTTTACTTTAAGGGAAGTATTCCTCGATTTATAATACTTGGACATAGTTAAGCATGAGCATGCACCGCCCAGGCATACCCTTTAAAATGTTGCTTATTTAAAAAGGTTTGCCGTTTACTTTAAGGGAATTATTCCTTGAAGTAGGCTCTACGACGACTTCGAGGAATATTCTTTAAAGTAAACGAAAGTCTTTAAAGTAGCTCAATATTTTGTTCGTTTGTTTGGCATCTGTTTGCTTGGGATCTGCTTTGGGCAACATTCTTTATATTATTGTCAGCTATGATAGTTCTTCCAGGAATTAGTTTTAGCCTCTAGTCTTAAGGAACCCTCCGGGAACCCGGCTATCCACAACTATAAGCCCAGGTTTGTGTTCATACCTTAATCAAATTTCTTTTTTATTATACAAACCTATCTTTATAGGCTTCTTTTCCCTTTCCCCCTTCCCAATTAATATTCTCTTTTATTTTTAATCAATTATCTTCTTAATATCAGCAATCTAATTTATTGTTTGTTGTATGATTCATAACCCAATTGTTGAGGCAATAAAAAACTGTGTTTCAAAGAAGGAAGAATGAGAAATGATATATATATGGAATCATATTGCCAGCTGGCGAATACACCTCGGCGACATTCAAGGAACAGGGTAAGACAATAAAAGGACGCTCTGATGGTAGACCTTAGCAAATGGTGCCCTATGAATAATACTAATACGCCTGTTAGACTCTAGCTGGGAGCTGCTCCAAAGGAATTTCTTCATAGCGTGCCAGCACGCACACAACAAACTAACACACACACGCACACACCTGTGCACACCTGCTGACATGAGTTGCTAGGCACACACGCCTGACAGATAAACAGACAAATTGCAAAGAAATTGGAAAATGTTCAATGTGAATATTTACAGGAATTAAATGATTTGGTTTTTTTTTACACATCAATCGATACCTGCCAATTGCTTAGAGTGCCACGCCCACATCGCCCATGGATTCATTTGGATTTGCCTTAGACAGGCCTTAAATGTCGTTAATTGTTTTTGTGGGTTGGGGTATTCATAAATGATGCACCTTTCGTGGCATGCAAATTGCAACGTGGACACCTGTTGCCATTGAGTACTTTCAGTTGCGGTTGTTGTTCGTGTATTATGACTGGCAAATTTGCATATTTAATGGCCAAAAGTTTTGCATATGCATTTTGCAGCTATTTCTTAAACAACCGATGTGTAGAACCATCAATCATAGCCTGGAACGCTGTGCGCAAGGGCCAGGAGTGTCCGCCCGAAAGGGATTAGCAAAACGGAAGAAGTTTTAGAAAAGAGAAAGGAGCTTACAAAGATATTAAAGAACATAGAGGGGAGTGTAATTAGAGCTCGCTTTAACTAAGAGTAATATAGTTTATGTATTTCTAGTCAAAATATTGCCAGAATGAGTTAGCTGAATTTTTGAAAATCGCATAGAAAGGCGCTATTAAGTAAAGGAATTTTGTGTAAACGAAAGAGAGCGTAAAAATGGAAGAGTTAAAGAATACGAATAACAAAGAGAGAGACCTTAAAAGAGTAAAGACTCTTAAAGATACAGTTGATGTATTTCTAGTCAAAATCTTGTCAAAACCTGTTACTTAAACTCTTTGAAAATCGCATAGAGAGGCGCTATTGAGTTAAGTGAATTTGTGTAAATGAGAGAGAGCGTAAAATTGGAAGAGTTAAAGAGAACGAATAGTGAATAGAGACCCCTGAAAAGAGTGAAGGCAGTAAGAAAGAGAAATGGAAAGCCATATAACGACTTAATTTCCTAGAGGCGCTTGCATCATCAACGTGCTCCAAAAATAGTTATGCATATCAAATATTAAGAAATCAAGTAGCGTGTTCGCAAAAGGGTAGATTAGCTGCTTATGGCTGTAAATCAAAAGAGTGTTGTCAGTGTCAGCTTTCTATCAGTTTGCCCAAAAAGCCAGCCGTCAGCTGCAGCTGTAATTGCGTGCGTGACTGTTGCCTCGAAACGGAAACGGAAACAGACACAAACGCAAACGCAAAAGCAACTGCAGCTGCGAGTGCAAAAGGCGCCCAAATCATGTCGAGCTCGACTTTTAATAGCAACAGTGCCAAACGATTGACCCAATTTCCCACCCGCCCCAAGGTAATAAATGTAAGCAGAGCAGGCGAGGCGCCTGAAGAACGAATTTCATATGCCCTTCTTCTAGGAGGAAGGTGGATAAAAGAGGAGTTCCTCTGGTTTGTTAATTGAATACTTTTGCTTACGGAGTCTATTTTTTTAAAATAAATGAAAGCAAAAAAAGCGAAGCGCCTGAAGAACGAATTCTGTGTGCCTTTCATCTATAAGGTTTGTAGATTAAACTCCTTTTCTCTAGTTTGTTAATTGAATAACAGCCTTTAGAGACCATTTTTTTTGTAAATAAATGAAGACAAAGCCCTTCTTCTATGAGGTATATAGATAAAAAGAGTTTTTCTGGTTTGGTTGAATAACTTTGCCTTGCCTTTTTTTTTATTAAATGAAGAACGAAGTCTGTATGCCCTTCTTCTTTAAGGTATGTAGATAAAAGACGAGTTTTTCTGGTTTATTAGTTGAATAACTTAGCCTATAAAGTCATTTTTCCTATTAACCGAAAGATGAAAGAAGTTTAAGCGTTTATTTCTTTATTCTCTATTTTCAAACAGCCCAATTAGGTGATATTTATGTCCTATACGAACTAGACTCCGAGCATAGTTCTACTTTAGAATATATAATTGAAATCTATTGAAATGGATATTAATGGAATGATTTTCTTATAGAAACAGTTGACAACAAAATTAAGTACAAGCGTATTTAAGATTTGAGTTAACTTTCCTCTAATTTTGTTACGAAATGTGTAAGGCATAGAAGAAGTCTACAATCCCAAAAAATCAATATACATATCTTGATCTTGAACCGTACTGTCTTTCTGGTAGTATATAGTCGGATTGGGTCTATTTGGACTACTATATCTGGGACTATATGCCAAAGGAACAAATGGTCAGCAAATAAGTTGTTGTATAATATATGTTCAATATATCTTAAACAGACTGGGCACTTTCTAGTTCCATTATGGTTGGGCTAGTATGACCAAAAGGTCTACAGAAAGAAAGGCGACTCATTTAAATACTCCTTTTCACTTAATTGTAAATAGTCCATCTATGTAAATATCTTATAAGTTACACTCTCGTAACTATACCTTTGTCCCATAACATTCGCTTGGTAAAGAGAAAACAGAAAACAGAAAGAAAAGATAGAAATTTTTTTTTATGTTTTTCAAAATAACTTGATGTATCTTGAGGTAGTTTACCTCAGCAAAAAAGCTTCTATATCAAATCAGTCGAAAAATAAGGAAAGTTTATCTATTTTTCAAGATTTCTTCAACGAGCACAGCTATTGTCTGGTGCATCATCTACTATATCATATGGCACTCAGCCATATATCTACAGAGCATTTAAAATTCGGCTTTATCTAACTAATTAGCTTAGTTTTCAATTGACTTCTTGTAACTAGTCCAGTGCTCTAATCTTGACAATGCCAAATGACCTTTGGTTAGTTAGCTATTTTTAGACCCAGGCAGGCCCAGGCGTAACGCAGGTCGCATTTAAATATGCTAATCAATTGGCAATTAGAGCACCAGCAGCAACAATAATAAACAATAACAATCCGAGTACACATTCCTCTGCACATAATTATATATAGAAGTAGAAGATTTATGGCCGGCATTTAATTAACATTTGCATGTCACGCCACGGGGCGTATACGTAATGCAGATGACACGAATGCGCCATTATGCTGGCATGAATGCAATAGCCAAGGCCACGGAACCAACTTCTCTTTGAACTACATAAATGCATATACGTAAAGGGAAGTTCTCTTTACCCATCGTTGTTTTTCCAGTCCATTTTTGTTGCACTTTGGACTTTGCACTTTAACACTTGCCACAGGACAGCACTTGGCGGGGCGAGCGGCTGGGTGTAAACATGACTGGGCTTAAACCCAGATGGCCGCTGTCCATGTCCAGGTGCCCCAACAGGAAGACGCGCGAAACTAAAAGCCGTTCAAGCGCAAACAACAACTTGACCACACGGATCGTAAATCCAAACTGAGCCAAAACACAAACTTCTCACACGCCAAAAACTTTCAATCAAGCACGAGTCGCAGTCGTCGAGGGTGTGCGAACGCGAGTGTGAATTGACGTGTGTGTGTGTGTGTGTGTGTGTGTGTGTGTGTGTGTGTGTGTGAGTTTGTGTCCCTGACTCTGCGCGAATCGAGTTGAAGGTGTCACTTTTGTGGGTGCAGCCAAATAATGCAGCCTGCCAGCTGTCAGCCTGTCGTGGTTCCTGCATTTCTCATGCATCCTTAATGAAGCCGCACTCCTGAGCCCATTTCGCAACGCAATTTTCAATCAGGATAATTATTTCCGCACACGCAAACAACAACGCAAACAACACGCACAGCAGGCTGGCCAGCTTTCAATTGTCCTGAATGGGGGCCATTTCCGGCGCACAAGTGGGTCAAGTGCAAAACAATTCGCTGGCGGATATGTCGGCTGGTTTATGTGAATGTGATTTTAAGCAGCGTTTGCGTTTTAGTTGCTTTATCAAAACTATACGTTAACTAGACGTTAAACAGCTTAACTAAGTGTTGGGTATTTTTGGTGGTTGCAGTGGTTAGATCTTGGAGAGTCCCTCCCAGCGATCGGGCACCGTATAGAAATAACGATCCATCGCCTCGACAAAGCGCTGCTTGTACGGCTGCGGCGCCACAATTGTGGGCGACTTGCCCATGCCGCCCAGCAGACCTGTCTGCTTTATCATCGACTCCAGCATCTTGTCCAGCGTATAGGGGCGTATATAATCTGCAGAAGAACAAGCCAATAAATAAACTGACGCATCTGTGGAGACACACACACACACACACGCACCGATTATGCCCAGCACGAGCACATTGTGCTTATTGTCCAATCCCACCAGCAGAGAGTAGTCCATTATCTTATTACGCTCCAGAAATGAGGCATCCCTTTGTATGGCATCGCGCAGCACGGCTTTGCTGTGGGAGAGTACATAAAGCGGCTTCGACCAGGACACTGCAAGGCAATTCGTTTAGATGGGAGCAACTGCAGCCGTGTTTTGATCATGTGGAACTTACTATTCACTAGATTCTCATCGAGCAGCACAATTTCCCCGTTCGTATTGCTGGGATCCACACGGCGATTGCGTTCCGAGCCCTTCAGGTCGAACTTATCGGATATGTCGCAGCCGTAGAACAGATTCTCCATGACCAGCAAGGACTTCTCCACACAGGAGCTGCTAGCGGGATCGGGCAAGGGATTAGTATTTGAATATCTGACTATTGTCCTGCACTTACTCCTTCTTTTTAATGCTGACTTTGAAGACGCCAAAGATTTTGGCCAGCAGCGTGGGATGCTGCTGTTGCTGCTGGCACTTGGCTATGTACTCAAAGTACCCGGGCGCAAAGTTCTCAAATAATAGCATCTCCTTTTTGCCCATTTCCTTGAGCACGAAACGATCGTCTGAAAATATGATTTAGCGTCAGATATTTTTATATATTTGGAGTGAAGGCATCGAAGCTTACCCAGCGTCTTGCAGAATTGTGAGCCGGATTTGCCGCCACGCGCCTCCCACTGCACGCTGCTGGAGAGGCTGCGGGCGAGCGCAATGCGCGACTCCTCCTCGGCATCCGGCAGCTCAACGTGTTGGGCGCTGCCGGCCACCTCGCTCGGCTTGCGCACCAGCTCCATTTCGGGGCCGTTTCGATTCTGTGAGATTCTCAGCTCCTCGCGCATTTTGCTCTTCTCCAGCCGGCGATACAGCGTGCGGTCCAGCTTGGGCGGACTCAAGCATTTGGCGCGCATCGCATCGAATTCGCGCGCAAAATAAATCTGGCACTGAAATTGTGTTGTGCTGCCAAAGGAGAGCAGGACATGTGCGCTGGGCGGCTGTGGCTGGGATTTGGTTTTGCTGCGCTCCTCGGACTCGGCACTGGCAGCCGTCTCCTCCGCATCGGTATCCAGCTGCTTATGCTTCGGCAGTGGACTGGAGTTGGCATCGCCGCCGGCTGCCTCGCCAGCATTGAGAGCTGCAATGGAGCGCTGATACTCGGCCGATGTCAGGGCATAGGCAATAATCGAGCTGAGATCATTTTCGCGCACCATCACGGGTATGGCGCCCATGGGCAGCGTCAGATGATCCTGTGGCGCGAAGGGCGACTGCAGCGGATTGGCTTGGCTATTCGCGGTCTGACGCAGCGTCAGCAGCCGCGACTTGATGGACTTCTTGTCCGCGTTGATGTTGACTGTGGAGGCGAGCATCTGGTCCACGGTCAGCTTCTTTTCCGTGTCCGGGATGTCTTCGCCGGGACATTCTATTGACGTGCCATCCAGCTGCTGACTGTTGGCTTTGCTCTTCGCCAGCTCCTGGCTGGCGGCATCTAGCTGGTCTGGTCGCAGCTCCTCGGTGCATATGGTGCCGGCATCGATGTGATGCGACTGCTTGGCATGCTTCTGAGCTAGTTGCTCGATTTCATGCAGACGTGGACCCCACAGCTCAATGCTCTCGGCCAGCACACGCTTGGCCATGACGAGGGCGTCGGCAATATCGTAGGAGTTGACCAGACGTTCCGTCAGCAGGGTGTGCACAATTTCCACCTTTTGCTTGAATATGAATTGATCCTTGGTCAGGTTAGCCTTCAGCGTGGATACCAAAGGTGAGTTCTCCTCCTCGGTGGCCAGATCGGCGATGCGCTCGTGTATCCGCGTATACACCTCATGACCGCGTATCGAGAAGCTTTTAATCTCCTCCTGCACCTGCACGCCAATGAACGGCTTGGGCAGCTCCATTTGCAACGTGAGCGAGGGCAAATCCGTTTCCCACACCTCGACGGGCGTGTACTGGAACTTGGCGCCAACGCCACGAAAGCTAAAATGATGCACATAATCTCGGTGCAGTGAGTGCTCGCAGGGATTGCTCTGCTCAATAGCTGCGGCGCCGCCAGCCTCTGTGGGCGGACGGCGCTTGTAGGCGTGGCCATGGAAGCGCATCTCAAGATACTTGGCCAGAGAGAGACGCTTGGCGGCATCCGAAAGCGGCACCGGCGGCGTCGTGGCATTACAAATGCTGCACCAGGATGTGAAGTAGATTCGCTTGGGATCGGAGCGCGTTGAATCTTCGGTGAGATAAACATGCACGCAGCCCAGCGAATGAACGTAGCGACGAACGTGGCCCAGCATGGGCAGATTGCATGACGGGCACATCGAGTTGAAAAGGCAGCAATAGCGCTGCAGGAACTGCTCCAGCATGATGTCGTGCTGGCCATAGAATTTCATGTCCAGCAGCATGGGCAGCTTGCAGAAGGAGGACACGCCTTTGGGATTAAAGTGGAAGCTGCAGAAAAGCACCGGCAAACGCTGATGATTCTGTGGATCGAGTGCATCCTTGTACAGCTGCTCATCGGTAACTTTTTGCGGTCGCTGTATGATCTCGCCAATCTTCTTCTTCTTCTGCTTGAGCACTAAAACAAAGGGAGATTTTATAGACTCTTACAGAATGTCAAATATGAAACACTTACTTGAAGCCTTTCCTTTGGGAAAGCGACCGCCAAATGACCGAAACTCGGCGAGGAGCGTTTGTATATCCCGGCTGGTGGCGGCCGATGTGATCTTCATTTTGACGAAATCATGTGCCGGCAGCAGCTGCTGTTCGTTCTCCTTGTTGCCCGGCTCCGTATTGGATTTAAATGGATCCGCGTCTAGGCTTTCGGGACGCTCCAGAGCAGTTGGCGTCTTGGACCAGAGCTTGGAAAAGTAAAGCTCGGCGGGAAACAGTTTGCGCAGCTTGCAATTGCGACCCTGCTCCGTCTCCAGATAGGGCAGCGGAAACGTTAGAAATGGGCTGACCGACAGCAGCGTGGAGCTGAGCGCATTGCGAAAGCGATTATCGTAGCGATTCTCCACGGCTAAGGCCTGCACGTTGAGATTGGCCGCCGAGCTGGACATAGTTTCGGTCTGCGAGGAACGCAACGGATCCGTAAAGTCAGCCACATTCTCAGTGATGGCCGTAAACTTCTCCTCCGATTTGCGTTCGGCCAGTGGCCGCTTTGCGGATGAGCGCAGCTGCGGCTCCGGCTCCAGGTGCTCCTCGGCAGCATTCTCTGCCTTGGGACTGGACTCCTTAGAGTCGAATATGGATGGCTTGGGACTGAGCGGCTGGGCGAACTCATCCAGCAGAAAGGACATCTCCAGCCGCCAGTTGTACCGCGCAAAGAGCAGCGCCGAGGCCACCTTCTTGACGCGGGTCAGTTCCGCATTGTTGCCGCCACGCAGCAGACAGGTGTAGCCACGTGGACTCTTCAGCTTCTCGAAGAACATCAGCGTCTTGCCGCCCGAATAGTTGCGTATGTAGAAGTCATTGCAGCGGCCCAGCTTCGGCATGGTTATGTTCGATTCAATGGAGCTCACAATGTCGCACTGAAGTGTGCGCGCGAGACGTTCCATTACGGAGAGCTTGACGTCGAGCACCAGGGTGACGCCGTAGGAGCGCAGAAGATCCTGGGCAATGCCGGCGACATTTTTGTGCACCAGCACCACATTGGGCTCGAAGTTCATGATGCGGGCGCAGACGTTGCGCAAATATTCCTTCTCCTGCAGCAGCACCGTCTCGATGGTCACAAACTTGCCCTCGATGCGTTCGTAGACAATGGGGCACTGCAGCAGCAGGATGTGCGGAAATTCAACATGCGTGGCCATATCCTTGTGAGCGACATTCTTGGAGAATGCAACGCCATGCACAATTTTCGAGTCCTTGCGCCTGCCGCCCGGCACCTTCTTAAAGTTGACATAGTTGCGTATGTCCATGAGATCGTTGGTGCAGTACTCGGGCTTGAAATGATTCGCTGCCGTCGAGCAGAGCGTCTGCAACACCTTGCCCCACTCGGCGTCCAGTTGATGGGCGCGCAACAGCTGTGCCAGCAGCTGCTCCTCATGATCACAGTAGGACTCCAGCAGCTTGGTTGAAATGGTCGTAAAGCTCATGTCATTCTCCAGTTCTAGCTCCTTGGCAGACTGAAAGCTCAGCGACACATCCATGGACTTGGGCGGCTGCGGCTCTGCGCTGGTATCAAACTGCGGACTAATTGGGTCAATGCTCTTGTCTGGAGCCTCCGCTATGGCCGCGCCTGTGCGTGACAGCTCCGCAAATCTGTAGTGGAGGGTTGCATCGAATTCCGTCTGCTCGGCATCGGGCACAATGGGCTCGAGGAAGCCGGCCGCCAACATGGCATTCAGTATGGCCACCGCCTGCACCTCATTGGCCGACTTATTGTTCGTATTGAGAAACTCGATGAGCAGCTGGCCACAGTTTTGAACAGGCAGCTCGCGCTGCATTTCCTCGTGCAGGGTTATCAGCGAATTCGACTGCTGCAGTATGTACTTGCGATCGTTCATGGAGAGCACTGTATAGTTCGGTTGCGAACTGAAGCGCTCCTCCTGATATCCCAACGATGTCTTGCGGGACACCTGCACGCGTTGCTTCTGGGCGGAGAGTGTGCTGGGCGCACTGTCCTGCACCTCGAGCTTGCTGCTCAGATGCTGCTGCAGTGCCTGCAAATCTTCGCCAATGTTCGAGCTGGAGGATTTGAGTGAGGTAAGCACAATCTTGGAACAGTAATTGCACACCTTCAAATCGCCCTCACAGCGTATTATGCTGCCGGGCACAACTTGATTGCAGCACTTGGAGCAGAATATCTGACCGCAGAGACGGCAGTGATGCTTGCGACGAAATGTGGAGAACTTTTGTGCACAATCATAGCACTCCTTGGCCTTTGAATCGGGCATCCACAGTCGCTGCAGCTCCGTCTCCTTATAGTTGCGCAAATCCTGTAAAGAAACGTCAGCAAACAATGTGCTTCACATCGACTGCAATCACACTTACATTATTATTCTTTGAAGCAACAATGCTGCTGATGTGTTTGAGCACATTGGACACGGTGCGGCCTTGATTCGCTTCACCTGGCAGCTCATCGACACGCTCGTTGGCTTCGCACGTTTCCTCGACGGTTGTTGTACTGCTGCTGCTGGCTGTTTCGCTGCTCTTGCGCAGCTTAAGCGTTGTTGGCCGAATTGTATTAAAACTGGATGTTGAATTGTTTTGTGCGATTGAGTCGCCGTCCATGTCGGCGCTGCCTGCCGCATTTCGCTCGCCATAGAACTTGGACTTGCCCACCTGGACGCTGCTGCTGCTGCCGCTGGATATATCGTTGACTGTATTGTAGCTTTGATTATAAACATTTTGTATTTTTGTGACGACGCGTCCGAATAGCGACTCCGGCTTATCCTCAAAATCGCGCGCGAATTCGGTTAGTTTACTGGGTGAATGCAGGTGTTGATGTATTGAATTGTTGTTGTTGGTGTTGTTGCTGCAGCTGCTGCTGCTGCTGCTACTCATGTTGTGGTAAGATTAATAGTACTTGCGGTATGAGTAGCGTTGGGGACGTGCTACCACGTAGTCTGCTCGTCCTTGGTTAGATAGCTGTTATATTAAGTTGATCGATTAAGGCGGCGTCCGGTGCCAGGGAGCCGAGCGCCAAGTCAGTCCACTTTTGTTCCTGCAAATGCAATTTTAGACCGGAACTTAACATAAACCTTATCACGTTGCGCATTGCTCACCTGCTCGCTTAGGGTGAGGTGTGAGTCACCACCATCGGCTTCGGGATCGGGCAGCTTTTCGATTGGTACTAATATTTGATCGAACGGCAGCACTTCCATGCGCCAAGCATTGTCCACAATGTCCAATAATAGATCATCAATTGGTGCCTGTGAATATACAGCAACGCCCCTCTAAGAATCCGCCATAAACTGACTACAATATAACCTGATAACTGTAGCTAATATTCACTCAGCCGTGTTAATTACGTCATTGGCGGTACCCGCTGCCCTTAATGTCTATTGTTAATGTGTACATACTATATATGTATTTAGGCAGATTTATCACAAAGCCACTTTCAGATAACGGTGTGGCGCAACTAATTCGTGTGAAGTATTCATTGACAACAACACTTTGACAGTTATAGGTGTTGTTGCTAAAGGTATCATTGGTGGCATAACACAAACTTACCTGGCTGTCCATCACTTAAAATATATGCTTTATGTAGATTATCCAGCTTTACTTAATCTCCTTCACCTAATTGTTTACTTTTTTTTAGCGATAAAAGCTTATCGAGAAATCACCACTGTATCGATTGCCCGTACTTTGAACATGGGCTGCACAGCAGTGTTGCAAAACGACGCAGTAAAATGGGCGCAAGTTTAAAAATAGTGCTGCCAACCTGTTTTTATGGCTGCTTATAAGCTTAGCGTCTGTTGGTTTGTGGATTTTTCTTCTGTTTACATCTAAAGTGTTTGCGTTTAACAATTGTGTTTTATTCATTATGTAGCTAAGACAAATTAGCCACTCGATGTTTTGCTGTAAATGTCAAAATGAAGATAATTTTATTATGCAACAAATGTGTGACATTCATTTCACACGGCCCCCGTTTAACTTACTAGTAATCAAAGATCTCTATTTATATTTGTATTTAGATATTGTATTTACATTTATTTCGAATTAATTTGTAATAATGGATACGCCAAATATTATATTTGATATTATGCATGGATAAACAAGAGTGGCTGCGCAATCTTTAAGTTAGTCTGTTAAAGATATAAATAATAAGTTAAATTCCGAATGGATATTAAGATAACCATCAATGACTTAAAGCTCCAAGATCTCCAAAATAGCAATCCTTAAATAAGTTTGCTATAATAGAAATTTCGTAAGGTAACCAATGCCAGCGTCAAAAAGTTTTTATTCAAGTTATCCTTGATTAATTTGCTATTATCCTTCTGTGGGTCCATAATCCTGGCCTGTGGGTCCATAATCCGCCTCCTTTCCTTGCTGCAATGAATCTAAATTATGAATATTAACGAAAAGTAAATTACAATTAAAACGAGCAATATTAGACGATCCTCTTGATGAGATGTTCCGAGTACCGAAATCCCCAAAAAAGTGAACTATTTAAACACTGTTTTGTTGATTGTTCCATTGAATAACTGACTAGATGCAGCATAGCGCTATAAAAATGCGCTCTCAAACGTCAGCTATGCCGACATCTTGCCAATTGAACAACAGATGCGAACCGAGGGATAAACATAGTTGAACCACAAAAAACAACACGACAAAAATGTTGCTACCAAAATTGTTATTGTTATTTCGCATGAACGAAACTTATTTTTATCAATGAATTTCTTGTTGTCTTATTTATTTATTTTTTTCGAGACAGGCACTTAACAAGTTTTTCTATTTTTTTTTCTTTTCATTTTTGTCATTTTGAGGGCGAACAGCAAGAGGCAGAGGCAATTGTAATCCGTCAACGATGAAGACTAATTGGCAACTGATTTTAAAGCCATGAGTCGAGCTTAGCACCACACCTCGGCCGGACTAAAAGTGAGCAAATAGCGGCGACAGCGACAGCCAAAAGCGACAATTGAAGAAGTTTCAATTTATGTGCGTGTGTGCGTGCGTGTGCGTGTGTGTGTGCGGCGATGTGCAGCTCAAAGAGTTAAAGCAACAAATACAATCAAATGTTGTCTAAAACGGGGATTGATACCCGTTGCCAGCACACGCACACGCACACACACACACGCACACACAGTCGAATGCCTATGCAAAGTGGGGGTGCATGTGCGTGTGTCAATTGCACACACACACTAGCATAAATACCCGTACGTTCGTGTGCCTGTGTGCGTGTGTGTGTGTGCTTACTGTACAGACTGCCAGTGGCAGGCAGGTAGCTGACGCTGACGCTGACGCTGAGGCTGAGGCTGAGCGCTTATAGCGCAATGGCGCCTGCCCGGCATATTAATGAACTCCCTTTTGAGCAAAGAAATATGAAATTAAAATAAAATTTAGTTGCCAACAAAAGCCGTGTCCACGTTCACGTCCGACTCAGCGTCTCCGTCAACGAGTCGCCGCGTCGTTGTCGTATTGGAATTTGCCGCCGAGGAGCCACAAACTCAATTGAATGCATTTGCCAAAGAGGGCCTAAAGCCGCGCCATTGGACATTAGCCATTAGGGCGTTACTTCCGCAGAAGCCGTCGACACCTGCGCTTCGATAGAGCTGCCTCCAAATAGCCAAGAGAATGTCCCACGGAGACGGTCGCTTCTGCTCGAAGTTGGAATCGTTTGGAGCCAACGCAGCTCAGCACAGGCATTACATTACATATATGTATTTATGTCCAATTATATAAAACAGTCACGTGCTGCTTCCACACATATATACAGATATTCCCCCGGACTTACACTTATGTATGTGTATATATTTCTATATAAAAAAGAGCGGCTCGTCTGCATTATATACTATACCCATTCCTATATACTATAGAATCCTATACTTGTTTTGTCGGCAGTGAGTTTCACTTAATAAATGCAGCTCTTGGGCTCCTCTGTAATTTGAATATTATTATTCATATACACACATCGCACGTTTCGCTATAAACTCGGCAACTCACGCGCCGATTTAGTGACCATATAGCCAAAGGTAAAATAAAATAAATAAAAAAAAAAAAAAACAAAAAAGAAAACAATTTGAATTCCAATGTTCGAGACATCATCGCAATGATTCAAAGAGGCTTTTCGTATTGCTCGTCCAAAACAAAAACCTTTTTCTTGGCGGCTACAAATACAGTTTTGGACCTAGCCTTACCGAAGTACCGTTGTTTTTTCATTCTTTTTTTTGAAGTCCAATATTTTCTATTTCCGTTTATAGGTCCCGCCTGACTTAAATTGTGGCTTAATGTACAGATTTATATGCACAGACCGATGCATCGATTTGCCCATAAATACTTTTACGTATGATTGTTTCATAATATCTCGTTTTTTTTCCCCCAACTTATTTCCATTAATTTTTATGGTTACCCTAACTGAGTCAAGGAAATATACTTTAATTATCTATTTAATATTTTGGGCACAATTTTTAGAAATTTTGTTAGCTATTTTCTTTTCTATTGCAGCAACAATAAAAAAAGTCCAACAAATTCCCATTAACTGAAGCGGAAATGAATTGAGAAAGCAATTTCGATAAAAGTTTTAAGCTCGAAATAACTAGAAACCCTTTCAAATAAATTGTATATTCAAAAATATAAACTAAATACAAAATGAATAAACAAAACAGCGCAAAACATCATTTGTTGAAGAAATTGAAAGATTTTGATATTAATTTATCACTAAAAAGAGTACAAGAAACCCAAGAGTACAGAAACCCTTTTTTGAAAAGCGAATAGAAAGATATTTACAATCAGCTTATACTAATTATATCACTAATTAACTTAAAGTCGAAAGCAATTAGGTGATAAATTATTCAAAGTTTGCAAACAATTATATTTTCGTAGAATAAAAGACCAAAAATCTCTCGAATTTCGACAAAGCTATATGAGACGGAAACCTAACATTTAAAGCCCATCGAGAGTGCATCAAAATTGTGCGATTTGGAATAATTTGAATTTAAATGCGAACAAATACGCGGCTTAAATAAGTTATCGATAGCTATGCATAGGTAACTCTGTTAACTTTAGTTGATATATCGATACGAACCGAATCGATATTTCAATAAGCAAGCGATCACATTTTGAAAGATTGTCGAACCGCACGGCTGTGTGGAATAATAATAAACCAACTTCCGTGCTTTATAAATCAGGCGCCCGAACTAATGTATTATGGATTACGAAGACAAATCAAAAATTGAATTAGATGCTTTATTAGCTAGCCAGAACGAGCATTTTATTCAAATAATAAATATGATCAACTCGACCGGGGCCACACCAAAATAAGTAAATACTAGAACTGTGGAGAACGCATCAACTCTAGGAATTGTGCTGCCAAGTTTAGATGATGCTAATGGTGAATAGCAGAGGGAAAGAGAAGTCTTGGCGCCAGACGAAATTCGTGGAAATGGATGTCAGACTGCAGTTGATGGTTCGCAAGATTCGTAAGAACGATTCTAATAATTCAAATAATTATAATTAAGACCAATCACAGTAGCGAGCAAAGCAATACCTATTATTCAGATAAAACAACGAAGGCAATCTCGCTATCACAGTTTTGAATTGGAGACGTTAACCATAATCAACGCATTGCCAACTCGTTGGTAAGTCGGTAAATTATAGCTGTTTTATAACACTGTTCCAGATGCGGTTTCTGTTACGATAGTGCCGATAGCTTTCGATAGTTTTATAGCTGCCAGACAACTGTTAAATTCAAATTGGAACATCCTGTCAGTTTTTGTTCCAAAAAAGCCCTCGGCAATAATAATATAAACTCTGGTTATTTAAGCTTACACCATTACAACATTGCAGATATCTTGATTTGCTTTATATTATTATTAATCTACAAATAATTTTGTTATTCTAACACGCTGTTAATAACAGCTCTTGAAATGTTAATGCTATTCGCGCTGTTAAATCCGCTGTTTATGCGAAAAATAAATGCAAAAGAGATTTTGAATTAGTTTTGCTTGCTTAAATTAAAGAAACATAAATAAATATGCGCCCCAAACTAAGCATAAGAGAGGAAGTGGAACAGCTATTTGAAAAGAAGTTCCAATACCAAAAGCCGAAGACCAGCGCCTGGCTGCTGCCACTGCAAGAGCCGCTCTTCAGCGAATTCTACCAGTACGAGTCGCTGCAGGAGCTCAAGGAACAGTTGAATCGAATCAAGAGCAAACTGAACAATTATGGGGTACAGGAGTGGAGCACACACACAAATCGCCGCGATCCGTCGGGCGAGGTCTCCTGGCGACTCAAAAACGAAACAAAAGCCGAATTTGTGACCGTGAGTATTTTGGCTTAAATAAAATATTGATTAACTAATTATTTGTTCTACAGGTGGCCTGGTGCAAGATCTTCGAGTGCCTGCATCGTTTTCCACTAGTCACCCAACCGGAACTGAATAGCCTCCATCTATGCGAGGCACCGGGCGCTTTTGTTGCCGCCCTGAACCATTATTTGCACTCGGTTTACAAACAGGATGAGGTATCTAGAATTCCGGTAACATTCGAAGTAAAATCTTATCTAGTTCCTTGCAGATCAAATGGCGCTGGCGTTCCACTACTCTGAATCCCTACTATGAGGGCAATGCACTGAATGAGATGATAACCGACGACCGCTTCATATTCCACACGCTCGACAATTGGCTCTTCCACAAGGACTTCACGGGCAATCTGCTTAATGTTGACAACATAGAGCACATGACGCAACGTTGCGCCAAGGATTTCCCCGCGGGCGTGCAATTAATTACGGCAGATGGTTCAATCGATTGCTCTGCTCAGCCCGATTGCCAGGAGGAGATCGTCGCGCGTCTACTGTTCGCAGAGATCATAAGTGCCCTCAGCATACTGAGCACAGGCGGAAATTTTGTGATCAAAATGTTTACGCTGTTCGAGGCGTGCAGCGTTTCGGTTATGTATATGCTGAACTGTGTATTCCAACGGGTGCACATCTACAAGCCGGCCACATCGAAGCGCGGCAATTCGGAGGTCTATGTTATTTGCCTGAACTACCAAAAGGATGCACCCGGTCTGCCGCGTCTGCTGGAGGCCATGCGAGCTAAGCTCGCACAAGCCAACGATGCCATGGTCATGCCTCTGTTTGGCAAGGCGCAAATACCCAACGATTTTTTGCTGCAGCACAACATCGGCTGCAGACTCTTTCTGAAGCTGCAGGAGGAGGCAATCGAGAGCAGCATCTATGCGTACGAGTCCAAGGATCGTTACTATCTGCGTCATTTGCATCAGCTGCGCGGCGTTGTCTCCTCCATGTACTACAATCGATACAAGGTGCGTCCCCTGGCCGACGAGCTGTGCATTGTCAAGCAGCAGGACATCAATAAGGCGTTGGGCTTTTCGGTGCCCGTCTATGGTGGCTCCTATACGGAGCGTGAGCATCTCAAGCAGGGCGATCTGCTCAAGCAAATATACTGCCTGCGACGCGAGTTCAATCAGCTCGAGAAGTGTCCAACCGGCACGAACAGCTACAACCACGCCAAGGCGCACGAAGCGCCCCTCAAGCTGCAGCTGTGCCGCGGCGCGCCCGTGAGAGCACTGCAGAGCAGTCTATTCGCATCGGAGCCGGTACTTTTGCTGCGTTTGCGCATTTTGGACACATTTGAGCTTGATCCGCTCTGGCAAACAGCGCCCAAATGTTTGTTCTTGGATGGCAACAGCAGCAATTTGCAGACGCTCGATTACGCACTTGCCAGCGACGATGATGAGTCAACATTTCACAAAGTTCAACGACATTTCTTTGTCATGCTAATTGAGTCATTGCTGGCACAACGCCCTGCGAAAATAGTCTTCCACAAGTTTCTGTTTCTCACCCACTATGCGGCATCTGTGCTCCTGCTGCTGGCCGAGCACATTTTCGAGCAGACACAATTTGAAAACAGCGGCACACTGCAGACCATAACGCTGAGTAGGCTGCAGCTGGAGGCGAATGCAGGCATGGAACAGCTGCAGCAACTGCACCAGGTGCTCAGCAGCGATGTCGACGAGGAACTGAATGTCCTGCACAGCGTGTTGCCGCTGCAGCAGCTGCAGAAGAATCAGTTTAGCAATGCGCTCATCCAGTACAACAACAGCGTGCTGGTGGCCTGTTTTCGCCGCATGCTGGGCGAGGATGCGTTCCCCAGGCGCCTGAGCCGGGATCAGGCACAAGCCGTGCCCGGTATCAAAGAGACTGCAGCCGTCGTGTGTTAATTACGTATTTTTTTTTTTTAGTTTTTAACATAAATTTGATCAACGATCGTGAGATTTTTGTTTACATATTGTATTTCAACTTTTTTTTCTTTGTATTTAAAAACAATTAATGCAAATTAATTTCTACTACAAATATTTCTCGAGTTTATACAAATTTGACAAGACTCGCATAAACTGGGACTCCGTGGAGCAGTTTACACATACTATATATATATATATATATTTACATATGTATATATATTTCCATCTTTCGTTCTAAGCAAAATTTGTGTTAATTTCGTATGCATGTGTGGGGCTGTGTGTGTGTGTGTGTGTATTGGGGCTTCAATTCGTGTCTCATCCTGGTTTCAGTTTGGTTTGATTAATCGCCTGCGTTTGCTATTGCTTGGCGCCGGCGCCTCGCCTTCATTGGACTAATCAGCCGGACGCTTTTCGCTGTGTTTCCTGGTATAGTCCTCGGCATTCTTCACAAATTTCTTCTTGTCCTTCAGAAATTCCTCGGCCAGTTCGGCGCGCAGTGGATGCTCGGGCTCGGGATCGTTAATTAGGGCTATCAGTGCCTGCACCACCTGGTCGGTGCGCGTGGCTGGCTTCCAGTTCTCGGTGCTAATTATGGGCAGGCATACTTGGCCCTTCTCATCGATGTTTGGATGATAGATTTTTGTTTTGAAACTAATCTTTGGTGGCTTGAAGGGATACTCTGCCGGGAAATTGATTTCGATGCGAAAGGCGCCCTTGTTGTAGGGCGGATTGTCGGGCACAATTAGGCCCGTCCAGCGCAGCAGATTATCATCGTCGGCCTTGATGTCACGAAACGATTTTAAACTACTTTCCTGCAAATCTACGAGCTCCTTGCGCAGACGTCGCGGGGCAGTCATTTTTTCTTTTCGTTTTTAAATGTGTATAATTGCTCCAAATCGATGGAACTCGCAGCTGAAAGTAGACTTTTTTAGATGATGCAATAGGTTGTCGCCGTTTATTAAATATGTATATAGAGGATCTGTGCTAGTTTAGCACTCTTTTTACATTTTTTTGTGGCAAGCTCTATTAAGTTTTTATTCTCATCAGAGTTGTGTAGTCTTGTATGTTTCTGTCGTTATTTAGGTACTTATTCAATATTTATTGGCACGACGCGTTTTCGGCGATGTGGCAGCCCTGCAAGCGGTCACAATATTGCTATCCTGCTCGCACAAATAACATTTCCTATGCTAATTGCATTTTATAGTAAACCTGCGTTTATACGACTTTACAAAAATATGTGGTCTTACCAATGCGGGATAAGTTTTTATATATTTGCCTTTTTTGTTTGTTCTGCGCACACTACTGATTCATTTTAACCTTGCTTATTTTGAATAAGCAACATAAAAATGCTGTGCAATGGTACGCAAAAATGAGCATGCAACGCAAAATTGAGAAAATATAACATTCACACAAAGTGTAAACAAATGTATTTATCGATTAATTGTTTGACATCGAAACTTGGGCCGCAACACGTGCGCCGCGCTGATTCGTTTTGTTTTCCATTAAAATGACTAAAAAACAGGCAATAAAACGTAAAGTGAAGGAACCTGAGCCCACAAATGAACAATCTTCAGTTTCTGAGCAGTCCGACAATGAAGAGGATGAAGTAAGCATTAAAATGAGGTTTGAAATATGTTTGGACTCTAATGTTTGTGTTTTGGCCAGGACCTGCTGCAAGCCGTAAAAGATCCTGGCGAGGATACAACCGATGATGAGGGCATAGATCAGGAATATCAATCGGACAGCAGCGAAGATCTGGAGTTTGAGAGTGACGCAGAAGGCAACTATTTGGGCAGAAAAGAGAACAACGAGGCAGAGGACGATGCAGAGGAAGATGACGATGACGACGACGACGAAGAGGAAGAGGAAGATGATGACTCCGATGAAGACAACGATGATGCCGCTGCAACATCCAAAGAGGAAAAGCCCAGCAGCAGTAAGACAGCGGCTGCCCAGACGAAAGTCGAGCCCAGCATTCAGATAATTCCGCGTGATTCTTCAAAGCCCGAGTATGAGGACTCGGACACTTCTGATGAGGAGGATATACGCAATACGGTGGGCAACATACCCATGCATTGGTACGACGAGTACAAGCACATTGGCTACGACTGGGATGCCAAGAAAATTGTTAAGCCTCCGAAGGGCGATCAAATTGATGACTTTTTGCGCAAGATCGAAGATCCGAACTTCTGGCGCACCGTCAAGGATCCGCAGACCGGCCAGGAGGTGTTGCTTACCGACGAGGATATAGCACTAATTAAGCGTGTCAACTCGGGACGCATACCCAATGCAGAGCACGATGATTACGCGCCATGGATCGAGTGGTTCACCTCGGAGGTGGAGAAAATGCCCATCAAGAATGTGCCCGATCACAAGCGTTCGTTCCTGCCCTCGGTGTCGGAAAAGAAGAAGGTATCACGCATGGTGCATGCCCTCAAAATGGGCTGGATGAAGACCAGCGAAGAGGTGGAGCGCGAGAAGCAACAGAAGCGCGGTCCAAAGTTCTATATGCTATGGGAAACGGACACCGGCCGGGAGAGTATGCGTCGCATACACGATCCAGTGTCGGCGCCCAAGCGCGATCTGCCCGGCCATGCCGAATCCTATAATCCACCGCCCGAGTATCTGTTCGACGAGAAGGAGACCAAGGAGTGGCACAAACAAAAGGATGAGCCGTACAAGCGCAAGCTGCACTTCATGCCACAGAAATTCAAATCGCTGCGCGAGGTGCCAGCCTATTCCCGATATCTGCGTGAGCGCTTCCTGCGCTGCCTCGATCTGTACTTGTGTCCGCGTGCCAAGCGCGTCAAGCTGAACATTGATGCCGAGTATTTGATACCCAAGCTGCCTTCTCCACGCGATCTGCAGCCGTTCCCCACAGTCGAGAGTCTCGTCTATCGCGGCCACACAGATCTGGTGCGTTCCGTCAGCGTGGAGCCCAAAGGCGAGTACATGGCCTCCGGCTCCGATGACAAGACGGTCAAGAGTAAGTGCTCCTTATTTATCGCTGGATGGATCCTACTCTATTTGTACATATTCTTGCAGTTTGGGAAATTGCCACCGGTCGTTGCATTCGCACCATCGAGACAAACGACGTGGTGCGCTGCGTTGCCTGGTGCCCCAATGCCAAGCTGTCCATTATTGCGGTGGCCACCGGCAGTCGCTTGCTGCTCATCAACCCCAAGGTGGGCGACAAGCTGCTGATCAAGAAAACGGATGATCTGCTAGCCGAATCGCCCAGCCTGGATGTCATTGATAACGAGCGCATCAAGGCGGCTGTGCAATGGTCAAATGCGGAGCCCGAGGAGCAGGAGAAGGGCGTGCGTGTGGTCATCACACACTTCAAGCCCATACGCCAGGTCACCTGGCATGGTCGCGGCGATTATCTGGCCACCGTAATGCCCGAGGGAGCCAATCGCTCGGCGCTCATTCACCAGCTCTCCAAGCGACGCTCACAAATACCATTCTCCAAGAGTAAGGGCCTCATCCAGTGCGTGCTCTTCCACCCCGTCAAACCGTGCTTCTTTGTGGCGGTAGGTCCTTCTCTTCCTCCTCCTCCCCTTTCTGTTCACCATAATCCATATCCGTTCTTTGCAGACCCAGCACAATATACGCATCTACGATCTGGTCAAGCAGGAGCTGATCAAGAAGTTGCTAACCAACTCCAAGTGGATATCGGGCATGTCCATACATCCCAAGGGCGACAATCTGCTGGTGTCCACCTATGACAAGAAGATGCTTTGGTTTGATCTGGATCTCTCCACCAAACCATATCAGACAATGCGTCTGCATCGCAATGCCGTGCGCAGCGTGGCCTTCCATTTGCGCTACCCGCTGTTCGCATCGGGCAGCGATGACCAGGCGGTTATCGTCTCCCATGGCATGGTCTACAAGTGAGTATCACGTGGATTTTCCATAACAAATTCTTTACTTATCTGTCGCAATCCCTCTCTTCCTCTCTAGTGATCTGCTGCAGAATCCCTTGATTGTGCCGCTCAAGAAGCTGCAGACGCACGAGAAGCGCGACGATTTCGGCGTCCTGGACGTTAGCTGGCATCCGGTGCAGCCTTGGGTGTTCTCCACAGGCGCCGACTGCACCATCCGACTCTACACGTGAAGCGTGCAGCTTGTTGCATATTTAGTTTTAAGCGCTCAATTTATATGTGAAAGTTGAGATAGTGAACAATATATCTTATTGAATGATATTTTCCGTGTGTGTGTGTCTGAGTCCTGCATGTGAAAGCTTGAATACAACCCTGGCAGGATTGCCACCCCCCCAAAAGCAGTTGCTCGACGCCTGCTCCCCGGGGGTCGTTTAGGCAGTGAGAGCGAAAGAGCGTAAAATTACAAACTAAAACAAAAAGGCAACAACAAGGCATTCTCATTAATAGATTTACAGTTTGCTTTTTCAAGCAGCAGCAGCAGCATTGCCAAAAAGCACAAATCCCAACTAAATTCCAGTCCAGTGTGAAGTGAGTGGGACCGTTAGAGAGAGAGAGAGAAAGAGAGAGAGAGTGGGAGCGAAAGCTCTTTGCTGTACTCTTTTGGCAAAAGCACTCGCGCGCACATGTCGCGATGTGTACCAGGAATCTAATCGGCTCGCTATCGGCTCCACCGACAACAATAACAACAACTGTACAGCTACAAATTTGGGAGCTTTTCCTTCAATCAGCAGTCAGTCGCCAGCCTTTGCCCATGTGAAGAGAAACGTTTGCACTTGTGCTCGTGCCGTCGTCGTCGGTCGTTGTCGTTGTCGTCGAGGATTTTGGGTTTTGGCTATCAGAGCGCGCACACACACACGAAAACGAAAAACAGAAAAAAAAAAAAATAGCAAAGAAATTCACACACGTATAGAAAAAAGCGCAGCAGTGAAAATGAAATAGCAATAATGTGGTAAAGCCAGAGCCCCCCCACCCAAAAAATAAAATATGGCAAGTGTTTTGTTGAGCTCTTGAAAAATGCCAAAAATGTGAAAATATTCGAATATGAGAATCAAAAAGTTAACGAATGTAATTATCAAATATAACGGAGTGTCTAGCTAAATTGCACTACTTTCTCGCTCTATGCCTTTTGCTCTCTCACTCTCTCTCACTCCAATACCACTACCCCCCTCCGACCATACCCGCATTCTCTCTCCTTGGCTCTCTTTCTCTGTGTAGAAGTTGAATCAAAGCAAAATCATTCAGAGCAAAAAGAAAGAACGAAAAAAAATACCTACACATATTTTTAGTGTGGCTGTGTGGCAGGCAAAAAAATTTGTATATATTCGTTGCTCCTAAATACATAGAGAAGACATAGGCGCACACCACACCACACCACAAACCAAACCGAAATCAAATCAAGTGTGTGCCACTATGAGTGTGCGTGCGTGTGTGTACGTATGTGTGTTAGTGTGTGTACAAATAAGAGCGGAAGCCCACACGATTGGAAAATGTTCGATATTTTAGCAAATGTAACGGCTGCAGTGTGATAAATGCCAAGAAACAAGCACAACAGCATCAAGTGCAATTAGCAGCGCTGCCCTCTGCAGCTGCCACAACACACCAACAACAACAACAACAACAACAACAACAACAATAACAAGTAGCAGCAGCAGCAGCAGCAAGGCAAGCTAATCGCGCATACGCCCCATCAGCCTCAACCAGCGCAAACCAAAACGAAAAATAAATAAAAAAAAAAAAACGAAAGAATGAAATAACGGTCAGGCGACCTCGACGCCGCCATCATGGAGCAAGTGTGTGTCAATGTGTGCCAAGTGTGAGTGTGTGTAATGACTAGCACAAGAAATAAATACAAATTTCGAGCAGCAACAACAACAAAAATCTTCATCAGCAGGCATCTCCAGCTGCTCACTGGAATAAAAGAAAAAGCCAAAAGCAAAAGCAAAAAAGAAAATTAAAATTAAAAGAATTTCATAACACTTTAAATGAAATTCCCGTATTAATCGCTCCTCATTACAAACTAATTTCGCTGTAAATACGAACATGAAAATGTGTAAATTCTAAAGGCAGCAGCCAGCAACAACAAACTAGTCCCCCCACCACCCCCTTGCCCTCTTGCCCCGACCCATCTGTAGCACCTGCCCACGCAGCGCCAATGAAAGTGAGAGCGCGTCCAACGGACATTTCAAGAACAACTAAATAATAATAATAATAATTCATCAAGTTCCTAACTGTTTTCTGTGCTTCTCTTTTCCCTTCCCCGCCGCCAACTTCTTGTGTGCAGATAAAAAAAATCAAAGTTTTGCGCAAAGGAATAGAAGCAGCGCCCAAAAGGCAGAGCCAAAAATTTCTCTGCACATGCATGTAAAAACTAAAAAAAAAGTGGAATTATTCGAAAAAAAAACAACAACTACAGCTACAACTACAACAACAACAACAACTAGAACTACAGCAAGAGCGTGCAAGGCGCGAGAGTCGAAAGCACACACAAGCAAAAGCACTCGATAAAAAGTTATTAGCAAAAACATAAATACGTTACTTGCTCTCTTTTCCGCGCGCGCTCTCACGCTCTCCCCCTCGCTCTCTCACAAAAAGGGCGCCCAACGCCAACGCTCAGCCCAAGTGCTCTGTGTGGGAGTGCGAGCTGAGAGTGGGAGAGGCAGAACGAGACGGACAGTAGGTAGGTCAGTGGCAGTGGGCGGCCTAGCAGCGGCAGCAGCGCGAGCGCCAGCGGCAGCGCCAGCTGTGGCAGCTACGCCAACGCCAACGCCAAACGCCAACATCAACTTGAACTTGCAAAGGGCAGGTAAGTGTGGCCAATTTTCTGTGTGTTCTGGGTGGGGGTAGCTGCTCATCCAGTTCTCAATTGCTTGCAGCATGTCCTGCACCGTCTCCGAGCTGCCCAGTGGCTGTCGTTTGCGCGGCATGACTGCATCCTCACAGAGCGCGGCGGCAGCGGCGGCGGCGGCCAACAACGGGAATGGGAACGGGAACGGGAATGGTAACGGGGATAGCGTCGGTGCCGGACCTGGCAGCGGCTTGAGCTCAACTGGGGGCATCGGGGGCGTCAGCGGCACAACGGGCACAAGCGCAACGCTGCAGGGCAGCGTTAGCGCCACATCGAACGTGCTGCAGGAGTCGAATGCGACGCTGCAGCGGCCGCAGTCGCAGAAGCCATGCTGCTTTTGTTGGTGCTGTTGTTGTTCCTGCTCCTGGTGAGTATTACCTGCAGGTTAACTGTTAAATGCATTACATATATTTCAACGGAATCTATTTCATTGCCGTTGCTCCACGGGTCGTCCAACCGCAACAACAGGGCTAAGTGGTAAGTTCCTAGGCACAAACACACACACGCACACAAACACAAGCAAACACACACATACACACGCACCCACGCAGTCAGGGGCATTGCCTGCTCTCTCTCTCTCTCTCTCTCTGTGATTTGCTTGCAGCTGGCAATGCTCTATGCTAGGCGAATAGTAAAAGCTCTCTCTCTCTGTCGCTCTATCTCGCTCTTGCCAATTCGGACAACTGTTCCATTCACAATTTTGGGAGCGCCAAAAGCTCTCAGCAGGGCACTTTTCAAAAATCACAACCAAACAATTGAAGGCTCTTGCGGCGGCTGCTGCTGCTGCTTCTAATGCTGTTGCTGTTGTTGCCAAAAATGTTGCAAGTTTTCGTGAATGAAAACGAAAGCTGTTCTTGCTTGGGTGGGCATTTCTCCCGCACCTTTGTATGCTTAGCTGTTGTCCATCTATACGCACTTAATCATACGAGTACTTGTGCATACACCTACACCAACACACATACACATACACATACACTCACACACACAGGCATATTATTGGCAAGCTGTCCAAGCAGGGTAAACAGATAACGAACTTTGATGAGCTCTACGTAGGGTGCGTGTAACGCTTACCTGATACGAGGCAGTCAAATCGAATCGTAGATAACGTGTGGCCAGTTTTGTGTGAACCACTGTGGTGGCAACAACAAAAGCAACGCAAGCGCAGCCAACTAACTGTGAAAGCAGCTCAAGCAGCTGTTTCTCAAGTGCCAAAGCTTTTCGCTTATCAGTGATCCTTAGCGCAATTACACTAAGCAAAAGCTCGAACTAGTAACACGATTTTAAGCGAAAAGCTTCAAATGCTGCAAAAACCAAAATGTTGGGCCTAACCAAACGTATGCTGTACGTATACTAATTTAATTTAAAGCGTATTTAAGTTAAATACAGCCTTTAAAAATATATATATATGTGTGTGTGTGTGTGTGAATTGATTATGGGTAAATCTAATAAGAAATCATAATTGAAGTGTTTGGCAAAATTCAGAAGATAATTTCCATTAGATAGAGATTTCCACATTATAAAGTAAAGGTAGTTGATAAATCATATAAAAATCTATACAAACTTAACAAAATTGTTATTAAGGTTATAAAATTTATAAGCAAATCATATCACATGCACTCTCTTTTTTTAAATCTTAAACTAAACAATAATAAAAACAATTTGTAATTATAGTAAAATATTTTTTAAATATTTTTATTTATAATTTATAATATTTTTTTTTAAATATGTGCATATAATAAAACTCAGCTCAGATTGAGAAAGCTTTTCAAGTATTTTTACAATTTACTTTATTATATTATTCAGTAAAAATAAAATCATACTAAGAACTTAAACTTTAAATTAATCTAATCTAGTTCAAGGATAATCTTAGTTATATTTTTATTTGTATTTTTTTTTAAACTTATTTTGAAGAAACTTTTTACGATTTGTACAAATGCTTAGACTGAATTTTAATTTTTTTTAATTTATAAATTTATATATATTTTATAATTTATTTATTTAAAAATTGAATTTTATTATTTCCGAATTTATATTTATTTTATATTTTAATTAAAATAATCAGTTATTTTAAAATAATAAATAAATAAAATAGTTATTTTAATTAAAATATAGAAAGGTCGCCAAAAGCAGAACTAAATTAATTTGATAATAACTTTTTTCCGCTCTTCATGATTTGAGCTCCCATTAACTGACATTTTTAATATTTGTTCAACTACCTAATTAATTAAACTAATTTGAACTGTCTTATCCACAGTCTTGCCATCAAGAATGCCGATGAAAATGCGCCCACCAAACGTGATCTCGTTAGCGCCGATTTCCTAGATGGCGATCAGTAAGTTTTTCCCCAGTTAACACACAAAAAGCAGCTTTACTCAATATCATTTCTCATTCGTGCAGACCCACATTAGAAGAAATACGTAGTTGGGGTAAAAGCTTTGATAAACTAATGAAGAGCTCAAGTAAGTTTGTAGAGAACTCCACTTGAAAGTCAATTCAAAATTATTAACGATTCAAAATTTCTTCAGATGGCCGCAAGGTATTCCGGGATTTTCTGCGCAGCGAATTCAGCGAGGAGAACATACTATTTTGGCTGGCCTGCGAGGATCTGAAGAAGGAGAACAGCGCCGAGGTGGTCGAGGAGAAGGCGCGCCTCATCTACGAGGACTATATATCGATACTATCGCCGCGCGAGGTCTCCCTGGACTCGCGAGTGCGCGAGATTGTCAATCGCAATATGATCGAGCCGACGACCCACACCTTCGACGAAGCTCAAATACAAATCTATACGCTGATGCACAGAGACTCATATCCCAGGTAGCTCCCACCTAAATATCATTTGAGTTTATAATAATAACATTAGTATATGTTTATTGTAGATTCCTAAACTCGCAAAAGTTCAAGACACTCGCTCAAATGCAAGACAATTCGAATGCCGGCTCCAAGGCGGATAGTCCCACTTAGATCTGTTATCCTATACAATTGACTCTATGTTGAGTTGATTTTGTTGTTGTTTTAACATTAGACTATTTAATTTCTTATTTATTTTTTGATTTCCCGGTTAACCCCGAAGCCTGTTCACAAACTGTTGCCGCCAACAACAACCGCACAGCTGTCCTTTAAAAAAAAAAAAAAAAAAGAAGATGAAAAGAAAAACACAAAGCAATATGTCATACAAACTAAATAGATTCGATTCCATTTGGCGTGTGCAGTACCAAACCAAATTTATATATAAAGGGGACGCGGGACGGCTGGCTGGCGGGAGGGGGAGGGGGGGGGGGGTGGGTGTGGTCGTTGGCAAAGGCAACAGTCCAGGATACGCTCGAGGAGCTAACCAACCACAAATATATATAACTTAGACGATATATGATGCATTATGTGAAACCGATTCCTTCTTTACAATGTTCTAGTCGTTAACAAACCAAACTAGGCAATTTATATAAAAATTAGTTGTTAACAAAAAACCAAAATAGGGAGAAGAAGCAGAAGAAGCAGAAGAAGCGCCGTTTTTGGGCTAGATAATGCAACATGCAACAGACGGCATTTCTAGGGAGTTAAACATATTTGAACCTTAAGCAACTATAAGTTTATATTGTACAATGTATTCAAGTGCAGTTGTATTGTCTGGCCCAACAACAACAACAACAAGAACAACAACAACAACAGATTGGCATACTATATACATATATTGTAATAATTGTTAAACTAAGACGTATTAATCAAATTGAAATTGAAATTGAAATTGAAATTGAAATTGAAATGAAAACCAACTTTAACGCAAATACTTTTTCCAAAAAAACGCAACATTTTTAAACGTATTACTTACATTTAAACTTGTATGTAACTTAATTAGTTTTGAAAACATTTTAGATCATACAATACAATACATCCAAATTTATATATATATATATACATATATATATATATATGTGTATGGATAGCGACATCGAAGCATTCTGTAAATACAAAATACAACAAGAATAATACCAAAAAAATATATATATAAATTAAATATAGCAATTTAGTTGCGATTACGTTGTGACATGGCATTGCAGTTCGTTAGATTTGACAAAAACAAAAACAAAACAAAAAGAAAACACATAACTAAAACATTAACAAATAATAATATTATATTATTATAAATAGAGATACGAACTCGGAATCAAGACAATTTGGATTGTGTCTAATGTTTATAAAGTATGTAATGCATAAAAACAAATTCTAGTTTACATATTTATTGTACATTTGTTTAAAGAAAACAACATAAAGTAAACCATTTGCAATAATGTCAAAAACGTTCTTATAATCGATCCTAAAGGGATAACTAAACTATGTGCGCATTACTAAGTATTTTTTATTTGGATAACGCATTGATTTCAAATCGAAGAAAAAAAACAAAAACAAAAACAAAAACAAAAAAATGAATACCAACAAAACGTTTCGCAATATCACTGCCAACTCCGCAAGAGATATATCATATATATTATATGTGTATATATATGTGTATATGTATCACATACAAAGCAGTTGCGTTTACTATCCGCACACACACACACACACACATACGTAAACACTCACTCACACACACACACACACACACATACACACACACTGGCAACTGCGGGCTGGGCTTATCAAGATGATACTACAAACCCCTCCCTCCATACATTGACCCCCCTTCACCCCTGCCCCTCACACACACACACATACACCCCCGCCCCGCTCCACTGACCAAAAACCAACCCAAAATTCACACGCTGAGGCGCGCGCTAGTTTTTCTGCATTCAACAGTCAGTATTAACATAAAAGTGAAACTAACTTTGGCATGCCGAAGCTTAAATACCCTTGCAGAGGGTAAAACAATTCATAAAATAACTAATAGCTGATTTTATAAATTAATCAAAAGAAAAGAAATAGTAAATTTGAGAAATAATTTGAAAAAAAAAAATGTGAACTTAAACAAATAATATTCTGGAAATTCATTCAAATTTGATTTAGTTGTCCGAGTAGTATGATCCCTATATGTATGATCCCTATGATTTCTGTTATATTATAAATATATATAGAAATAATATATATAATATGTTTTTAATCTTCGTGAGTTTCTGATTTACAAAAGTAATATATTTGACATTTTTTTTTTAACTTTCCGATAGATCAAAATAATATATTTTAAAATTTCTTCAGTTTTTGATATATCAAAAATATATATTTTTAATTTTCTTTAGTTTTTTTCCGAGTCTCAGATAGATAAAAAATATATAATTTCAATTTTCGTAAATTTTTGATATATCAACATAATATTTTTAAATTTTCTTGACTTTCTGAAAAAATAATATACTTAAAATGTTCTTGATTGATCTCGAGTGTGCTTAATTCTGATATTTATTTCTATATTTCAAATATATAAAATAACTATATTTAACATTTTCTTAAAAGATCTTTAAAAACAAATTCGCTTAGTTTTTCACTCTTCTTCTTGGAGAGAGCTTTTCTTTTATATCATTTCCCAAGGCTCTGTGGCAACACTTTGAACATTGAACATAACCTTCAAATTGTCAGACTCTGCAGGTGTGTAGCAAGCTTTATAACTGAATATAAAACTACTGTAAAACATTAATATTTAAATTTTAGCAAACGTTGTCGAATTACATTTAAAAATAAACTTAAAATAAAAAACAAATCATAGAGCAAAAGTTAACATGAGTTTTAACAGGTGACGTATCCACGTGCCGCACGATTTAATTGATGTAGTTTGAGGCACAACATTTGACAGCACCAAAAGTTTCGTAATTGAAGTTCGATCCCAAAGAAAATAATAATAAAAAATAATAATAATAAATGGTTACCTCAGTTACATCAGAGAATGTTTTTAGTAGCTATTAGCTAGTTGGTGTGTCTAGTTTTAATGCATATGTACTTAATAGACTTAACACACACACACACACACACACACACAGACAGACAGACACTCACACAAACAAGAGCGGCGTGGGAGAGTTGCGAAGTACGAAAAAAAAAACGTCTTCCAGAGCGACAACAGCTCGGTTTACCGCTACACAAACACGCCCACCCCCCCCCCCCCCCCCACCCCCACCCCCCTCTTACCAACCATACTCCCCACAATAGGCCTTAGCTTCTGTTCTATGTGCACCCCCACCACAGCCTCACTCCTTGCCCACAAATACTAAAACACAAAAATACCAAAAAATACCAAAAAATAATACCACGAGAAAAATATCCGAAAAGCTCATTGAATTTACGTCACTCAGGCTGCTACTTGGAATTGAAAATTCGACAACCTTTTGCATTATAGAATACGAATATCGATAACAATAACGATAGGCGATAGGCGATAAACGCATTATCGACAGTTCTTTAACAAGTGTCATTTTCCATGGTTTGTTAACTTAATTTTAGGCTACCAAAATACCAAATATTAATATAACAACTACATTTATTTTTGTGTATATGTTTTAATTTTCTAAAAAAAACACAAAACAATATTATATATATTTTACGTTATTTTAGATACACAAACGCGCAAACACACACGCACACACACACACACACACACACACACACACATGCATATACTTACATATATATAAATATATATACTATATAACTGTATATGTAATACATACTTAAATGTAAATGTAATCGCAAAAAAAAAAAACCAAAAACAAAAAGTATTAGTGAAAAGTTTCGACCAGTTGAAAAAACAAAAGAAAAACCAAAAAAAAAACACAACAAAAAAAAATGATTATAAAAAATTTAAACATACAAAAATTTCAAAAATGAATACAAAAACACGTTTAAACTAAGCATACATTTAGTTTTAAAACAAATTTAATATATTGCAACAATAAACAACATGAAAATAAAACTGAAATTCAATGAAAAATGCATTAAAAAAACAAAACAAATAATTAATTAGCTAGCTGTTTACTAATATTATTTATTTATATAGTAATATTTGCTTCACACTCATAACTAAATGAATAATGTGCACAGAATGGAACACCCTGTAAACGGCCTGGCAGAAAACACGGCAAAAAGCACACTGGGCAAACAGTCAGTATCGTCTACACGACAAAGCGTTGATTTTGCTGCTGCCGCGGCCGCCGCCGCTGCTGTTGCTGTTGCTGTTGTTGTTGCTGTTGCTGTTGTCGTAAGGCGGCGTCGGAGTCTGTGCCGACGGCTACATGGCATTCATTTGTGCTACATGCATAACTATTTTACGTGTGCGCATGTGTGTGTGTGTCTCTCTCTCTCTCTCTCTCTCTCTTGGTATGCGTGCAAGCAGCTCTCTACCTCTGGCTCTACCTGGTGTCCAACTGCACTACCACTTTCACAATGCGCGCTGGCGCTGTAAGCCAGCAGCAGTAGCAGCGCAGCGGCAGCAGCAGCAGCGGCAACAAAAGCAACAAGCAAAACAAAAAACGCGACGGCATGTTCGAATGTTCGAATGTTCGAAAATGAATGCACGCCACAAAATGAACCAGAAAGCTACAAAAGCGCAAAATGTCCAGGGCCGGTTCAGCGGGCGATGCGAAATGCGCCCGTCAAACTGTAAATTAAGGCGCCATCTAGTAATTGCTGTGTGCTTGCGCGCGCGCCTGTAGGCTATGCTAGTCAAGTTTCGAACCAAATTCGATGCAAGTTCGTTGCCTGAGTCATTTGTTATTGCACAGAGTAATAAATGCGTACCTGGAAAACGCGGCACTAGAGCTATGCAGGTGCGTGCACACAGCGGCAGGCGCAGGCCCAGGCACAGGCGCAGGGACAAAAGTACGTGAGGACGGACACTGGCTGCTACCTGTGTGCGTGTCTGTGTTGCCAGTGTAGAGACAACATCATCATCGAATCGATGAATTTGAGTTTCGCTCGCTCTGGCCGCTGCCGCGCTGCTGCAGTCGACGGCGACGGCGACTGCGCCGCCTCGCTCAATATCAGTTACGAAAGAGATGAAACCATAAAAAGCAATAATAATCGAGCAACATGCACGCTCGCGCACACAGACACTCACCTGTGCTCGCCTGCACAGACACGAGGCGCGCACACACACAACGACGGCACCTTGCACACACACACACAGCGAGAGAGAGAGAGAGAGAGAGAAGGCGAGCAGCGACTGCGCAGCAACCGAACCGACCGCAGCGGCGACAGCAGCAGCAGCAACAACACATTCAACAGTTGAACAATCTCCAATTGACTCTTTGGGCATTATAGCCGAGCTCAACGTTCATCCGCGACAAGTTTTTCGTACCTTTCGTGCAGGCGAGTTACACATTTTTGCTTTGGCTCCTCAAAAAGTACATTGAAAACGCACAACAAATTATTAATAAAAATTGCGACAACAGAGTTGCCAACACAGCCGAAAACTCTGCGAAAAATTGTGATATTTAAGTGAAGTTGAAAAAAGAAGAAGAAAAAAATATATACAGAAAGAAACGTAGAAAAAAAAACACACACAGAATTCGTTCGCGTTCGTTTCGCGTGTGCATGCGAGTGAGTGTTTGTGTATGTGTGTGTGTTTTTGTGTGCATGAGTGTGGCTCTGTCGGGCCCGCTGCTGCGTGTGCATGTGTATGTGTGTGTGTATGTGTATCTGTGTGAGCCAAAACGAGACGCCATCAAAGCTGAGCAACAGAAATAAAATTCAAAATAAAAATTGTGATTAATAACAAAGCAAAAGCAAAGAACAACAAAAGGCGAACGCGCAGAGAAAAAAGCGCGTAAACGAGGCACACATACAAACATACATACATACATACATACGTATGTGTGTGTGTTTATAAAAAATACTAAATATACTAAATAACCATAAAGGCGCGCTCACAATGAAAAATGTATAAACTGTTAACAACAAAAGTGCAAAAGCAACAGCAACGAAAACAACAACGAAAACAACAACAAAAGCAACAACAACAACAGCAGAGAGACGCAAATGCTGCGCGCATCCGCCACCGCCAGCGCCGCCGCCCCCGCATGCTACGCAGCCGTGTTTCGTGTACGTCGTGGCAATTAAAAAAGTTTTATGCAAAATACGCAAATCAAATGTTAATGCTGTGACCTGTGCATGTGTGCGTGTTAGTGTGTCTGTGTGTGTGTGTCTGTCTGTCCAAAATGCACAGACGCCCGCCAGCAGCAGCAGCAGCAACAACAACAACAGCAGTCAACTCCGACGACAAAGAGGCCAAGGAGTCGCACATTAGAAGCTCAAAAAGCCAAAGCACACAGCTCGCAGCCAGGCTTTGAGCCAAGACGCATACCACAGCAGCAGCCGCAGCAGCAGCAGCGCAAAAGTGGCGAAAGGTGCACCCACCAACAGCAGCAACAACAACAACAACAACAACAACATCAACAACAACAACAGCAACAGCAACAATTCCAGCAGTCAACCGTCAGCGAGTCAGCCACGAATTAAGCGGGCACCAGCAGCAGCGCGCGCACACACACGCACACACACACACACGTTCGTTAAACATTTACGGTGTGTGTGTGTCTTTTTTTCGGTTATTGTTTGGCTTTTTCGAACATGCCGCCTTCCAGCGCTGCAGCCTTCCAGTGATAGTGTGCCATAGTGATCCTTAGGAATTGTAGTGCCAAAATTCCAATACAACACAAATACGTTACGTTTTTACCTGTGGACTGGCGCGGACAGCTGCATACAAAAGAAATATGTAAGTACCACATACACCACATGTACATAGCTCTCTACACAGAAGTAATTATAAATGCATAAAATGCAACACTGCGCTCTAAGCCAGGCTTAAACGTAACGCAACAGCGACATCAATAAAAGCCAAATATAAAGCACCCTGTAAGGTGCGCGCAGACGCTGTCAACGTCGCAGCCGCGATGGTAATAGGCAATAGTGTTGGAGAGTGCGCAACAGCGTGCAAGAGAGAAAGAGAGCGCAAGCGCGCGTGTTCGTTCGTTCGGTCAGACAACGAGCGCAAAGTGGGAGCGAAAAGGGATCAAAAGGTGTTGTCTGTGTATGCGACGCCGCCGACGCCGCCGCCGCTGCTGCTGCTGCTGTCGCTGCGGGCTGCTGCCAGCGTCTCAGTCGACTTGTTCGAAAATCGAAGTTACTGTTGTTGTTGCTGCTTGTGTTTTTGATTACGTTTTCTCGTGGCTTCTTGTATCGTTTGGTCTCCGACTTCGTTGACTTTGGCTTTAGAGCTGTTGTTGTTGTTGCTGTTGCTCTTTTTGTTTTTTTTTTTTTTTTGTATTATGTATTATTCTTTATACTTTTTGTTAGTGGTCCGCACATTGATGATGGCGATCAATTTGGGGCTGCGATTATGGTACAGTAAAATGAACAACGTCGCTGTCGCTGTCGTCGTCGTCGTCGTCGTCGTCGTCGTCGTCGTCGTCGTCGTTGTCTTGCGTTAGCCACTACGCAGCACACACACACATACCAATACATAATGACACTCACATGTGCACGTCAGCTTACACACACACACACACACACACACACACATACACAGACAAAGAGTCGGGGCACACTTAACCCACACAAAAGCCAGCGCGCCAAAGGTGGGCAACCGAAGGGGTTTCGGGCGGGGTGTTGTTAACTTCGTGAGAGAGTTATTTTATTTTCGTGTTCGTGTTAACGTTAACGTTTATTGTTTTTCTTTTCTTTTTCTGCGTTTTTCTTACCTTCTCTGCTCTGGCTCTCAGTCTCAGCCGTCGTCTCTGCGCCTTTGCCTTTTCAGCTCGTGTAGTTATTGATGCCCGGCTTTGACCGATGGCTTAGGGTTAGGTTCGTACATTTCTTGTCTTTGGTAACGCTGTTCAGGGTGCTCACACACACACACACACACACACACACACACACGCACGCACATATATGCAAGTACACACATATACATATCTCTGCATGCTTGTAGAGATATCAAATGGCCGTCTGGGTCTAAATTATGTCAAATCTTGATGGGATTTCAAATGGTATTGCTTTGAAACGATTATTCCTCTATTCTTGGACCTGGCCCTGGTTAAGGTGAATGCGTTGATATTAAGATTCTAAATATAATAAAAACAATGCGCAGATTAAATTTCTAAAGTGAATAGATTAGAAAAAAGGGGTTTTCTTTCAATGGGTATATATTGTATATATGTATTGCAACTAGGCAAGATTATGTGTTAGCTAATTTGAAATATATGAGTATTTATATGCTAAATTGAATATCGATTAAAAAACACAACAATTAGTTTCGCAATGAAAAGATTTATGTAGATATTTATAAAAGGGTCTCGTTATAATACCGATTATTTTTCTATCTGATACTTATATCATATATGTATATCTAATACTGATAATTATATCTGTTATATATATCTGATGTTTTGCACAAAATTGCGTTTTCCTACTTGTGTACATAAGTAGTACTAGCAATTATTTCCCAACCTTGCCCGCGGCAAATTATGTGCCTTACATTTTAGACATAACTTTAACCTAGTTAAAGTCTAACTAATGTGAAGGCTTTTATAGCTTTTATAGGTCATGCAATCAGTCAGTTATTCAGTTGATCAGTCAATCAGTCAATCAATCGGTCAGTGAGTCAGTCAGTCAGTGAATTAGTTAGTCAGGACAAACTGTTGTTCAATGTTTAATATTGTTCCGGAAATAAATAGGCATTTATGTAAATCTAGACTTACGTTCGTTTCTTAATGTTTTAGAGGTCCGAAAGTCTGATATTGATCACGAATTCTGTAAAAATGCAAAATACATGTTCATTCACATTACCTAAGATAGCCATATATTAAACTAGACCCAAGTTGATATAATTTTGTTGGAGTATTGAAAGCAACATAAAACTCTTAACGGAATTGTTTAAAAAGTTACAGTCCCAAGGTAAATGTCCATTTTTTATTGATCATTCTGATATACCTATGATATAGAGGTCCCATACGATAAGAATCTTTAGTTATTTTCATAAGTTTTATATATCGAAAAAAAAGGAAAAAAAAATTAATAATAGAAAATTTGTTATATTTTTATTTAAAATGTTTTCTTTTTGTTTATTTTTATTTTTATTTATTTTTAATTTTAAATTGTTTTTTTTTTTTTATATGTATAAAATGTTTAAAATCCTTCAGGATTAGATCAAAGAAAACATTGTATATAAAATATAGGAGCTACTGGGTTAGAATTTTCAGACTTATGTATGATGTTGGGCTGGAATATTACTGAATATAGGAATGCATAGGAATTTTGGGTTAAAAACTATCGACATCTGATGTGTTGGGCAGGAATCTAATTAAAATCTATTGGATTAAAATAGGAGAAGGAAAGTTATCGAATACATAGCTTGTATTTGAATATTAATATAATATGATTACGAATTTCAGTCCAAATTGCGATTAAGAAGTTATTTTTGGCCAAAAATGTTAGAAAATTTAGATGCCAATCGAAAAATGGGACTACAGTATTAAAATAAGTGTAATTTTAAGAAATATATAGTCTAATTTAACTTTAACTGGAGCATTCGGCATAAGAATCGAATCCTCAACATTCCATAGCCCAAAGATGCTTTGAATTTGTTAAGACTTTACACTTAATACACTTTGGTTATCCGAAAATCTGTTCTAAATTGAAATAGGTAAAAGTCTCAGCCCCGCCTCAAAATCTCTCAATCTCTCAATTTGCTTAAGACCAAGTAGACAAAACCGTTCAGAATCGGAATCAGAATCAGATTTGGCTCAAGTTCTCTTTCTTTTATTATTATTTCTTTGCTCCTCTTGAAAGTACTTTGCGGCTAAAAGGCCAAAACACTCGCCAGCTCATATCGCGATAGCCCGAGGGGCACTTCGAGCCACAATTGAGGGGCAGCTTGGAGGAGCTAGCGGGGGCGGGGGCTTGGCTCGGCTCAAATTGACCCCAATTCGGGCAAGCAAAAGCTGCTGAAACTTGGCCAAAAGACTGCTTTTGGCTATTGATGTTGATGTCGTTTTAATTGTTTTCTAATTGCCTGAAATACGCAGCAGGTAATCGAGAATTGAGAATCTTCCGCCTGCAGCCTTTTGGGCCACGTGCCGGCCCAGCTCGTCAGCATATTGACCGGTTTTGCGCGGTCGCGGCTGCAGCCGCACCCCCAAAACAGATCTGCCCCAGTGCACCCACCGAAAAGGTGTGTGTGTGCGAGTGTGTGTGCCAAAAACTAGTCTATAAGCGCGCCACATGACACTGACCTCACCTACTAACGGAACCAGCCAGAGGAGCAGACGGTTAGACACGATCCGCAGACGCCGGAGATCGCGTCTCGCTCTGACACAGCTCGAACTCGAACTCGAGCCGGTTGAACTGACGAAAAACAAGTTTATCCACATCCCCAACAGACACCAAGACTCTCCGTCGCATGAACTTTGCTTGTTTGTTGTCGTTGTTGTTGTTGCAGTTGTTGCTGTTGTTGTTGTGTTTTATCAAACAATAACTGGCAGAGTGGACGTGCCACCGCCTGAACCTGATGCAGGGGGCAGGCAGGTTGCCAGCTTTTTGTGGCTGAACCAGAAAGTCCGGCGAACAGCAACTTCTGGATTAGGTCAAGGATTGACTTGTTGTTGTTGCTGTTGTGGTTGTTGTTGTTGTTTGGTACCTGTTCTAAAAAACACCCAGCAACAATAACAACAACAACAACAAGTTGCTGCCACTCGTCTCGTTGTTGCTGCCGTTCCGTTTCGCAAACATGTTTTGTTTTGCGCGAAATTCTGAAACTGGCCGCAACCGAAATCGAAATCGAAATCCATCCAAAAAAAAACTGGACTATTCCATTCACACGCAGCCGCTGATGGATCTCGAGTAGCGGCATTTTCTGGCTTAGCTCCGTTTCGTTTCCAGCTGTAAGCAAAACAAAACAAAACACAAATAAACGCCAGCCAAGCAGCGGCCCAGCGTCGCGCCGGCAGCGCTGCCAACTTAAGCACAGCTGCTGCTGCTGCTGCTGCCGCTGCTGCCGGAGCTGCTGCTGCTGCTGCTGCTGCTGCTGCTGCTTCTTTCCACCTGTTGTTGTTGATGTGATGAGTTATGCAGTTACACGTTTGACATTTGCGAAGGAGTCAAACTAGTTCGACGGGCACGTGTGCAGCTTTTGTTTGGTCTGTCCCTCCGCCTGTTCCGTCTGTTCCGTCTGTCCGTCTGGTTCACACCACCCTTCCCCTCCACCCCACACACACACGCACACACACACACACTCACACTTATTTCGTCTCGTTTCTGTTTCTGTTTCGGTTTCTGTTTATGTTTGTTTGCATGTTTGTTCGCTTGCAAATCGTTCAGCTCAACAACAACAACAACAACAACTCATCGCATTATCGACTCATCGGGGAAACCGCCGCCGCCGCCGCCGTTTGAACCCGTTCCACATTCCACATTCCGTTTACGTTTCGTTTTTTTTTATTTCTTAATTATTTGGAAGGCACGACCCACCCCCCGCCCCAGCCCGGCGACAGCCTGTTGCGAAACGGAGCAGCAGCAATTACTGTTAAGTTTGGAAATATTTGTTTACATTATTATCGTAAAGGTGTTCTATGGTCATCGAAGTTTGAAAATTAACTAAAAAGAGTTGATTGTGGATTAGGAAGGAATAGTTTTTATATATATATTCTAAGAGTGTTTAACCTTAATTTAATTTTTCTTATTAAAGTTCTTGAGCTTTTACAAGGATAGCTCAGATTCCTAAAAATTTCGATTCAGTAAATTATAAAAAGCTCTTAAGCTTTTGTACATATATTACTTTTAAATTCTTCAAGATACATTTTTTAAAAAGCTTTTAAACTATAAACCATGAGGGAATAATTATTTTATAGTTCTATATAGTATTTAAAAAAATTCGATTGGCAAATTATAAAAAGCTCTCAAGCTTTAACTTTAATAATCTTCTAGATAATATATTAAATTGAATTAAATATTAAGGAATATTTAATATATATTCCCTAAATAGTACCTAATCTCATCAATATATTTGCATAGCAACAGCTCTTGTGCTTTTGTTTGGGCTTTTTAAAAGGTGATCTAAGCTTTTAAATGTAATTGAATATCAAGGAATATTTATTATATATTCTCTAATAGTATTCATGCATATTAATTTAATTTTCTAAATTAAAATTCTTTAGCTTTTACATAGTAAGCTTCGATTCCTAACAATCCATTTATAGAAATTTAGATTGGTCAGCTTATATTAAAGCTCTTAATCTTGTACATGGAAAGCTCACATTCTATATGAACTTTTTTTACTTATATCGATTGCCTCTTCAATATATTGCCTAGATTCGTTTAATTTAGAGAAAAAGACAAAATTAATAATCCCACATAACCATAAAGCTGCATCTGATCGCTTTTTTAGTTTTGAATATAAAAATAATTATATATTAATTAAATAAAAATAAAAAATAATAATTCTTGATCATAATAATAATAAATAATAAACAAGATCTATAACATAAAGTCTGCATAATTAAACAAAAAATTCTAGTTCTAGACGTGAGAGCTATCAATATCGTATATCCAATCGAGGAGATGAGGTTTTATTTAATTAGCGTTAACTGAGTAGGTTTTTTATCGTCACTTTCTTTATCATTAAGTCTTAAAAATAGACCCTCAAAGACATCAATAGCCCCAAAGACAACAAAGCTTTAAAGCTCGAAAAGCTCATCGAGCTTCGACTTAATTGGCTGGAATATCCGAGCTTTAAGCCCTTAAATAAAAAATATTATTTTATAATAAATAAAATAAATAAATAAAAAAACATTGAGTAATAAATATTATTCGATAATTAAGCAATAAATAAATACGTTATAATTATTAATATTACTATTCAATTTCTTTAAGATTTAACAAGAGATTTGATCAGTTGAAAGCTTTAAAGCTTTAAAATTTTATTTATTTTCTGTTTACAGTCTCGCATATTTAAATATTTTATAGTACAATTCGTTTTAGCTAAGCAATTAAAAAGCTAACTAACTAAAATATTTGTTTTTTTATGCTTTTATCATTACAGCTAATAACAACGATAAAGGAGCTAGTTGTTATCCAAGTTCCTTAGTGCCATAAAATGCAATATTGAAACGACAACGAACAGAGCAACAGCAACAACAACAACCACATTTACAACAACAACAACAACAACATCTACAACAACAAGTGCCTTCATTCAAAACGTGATAGTGATATTAATAATGTTTATATACTCGTAACAACAAAGCTTGCCACCAACAACAACTTGCAACAATCCGCAACGACTTGCAACAATCCGCAACGACTTGCAAGAAATTTTCGAATGCCTTCGCCATTTGCCAGCCGCAACAACAACAACAACTCAAGTTCAAAGTTCAAAGTCTTCTGCAAATTCGGCAAATTAGTTAATAATTAAGTTTTTGGGGACACCGAGCCGTACATCTAGATAATGTCCACATCCACGGCGACAACGAGCGTCATCACGTCGAACGATCTATCGCTGTCCGCCCACGCACACGCCCACACGCACGGTCACGCCCACGCCCACACGCATACGCACTCCCTGCATCCGCATCCGCATCCGCATCCGCATCCCCATCAGCAGCAACAGCAACAACAACAACAACAACATCAGCAGCAGCAACAGCAGCAACAGCAACAGCAACAGCAGCATCAGCAACAGCATCGCCTGGGCGTCGGAGTGGGCGTCGGTGTGGGCGTGGGCGTGGGCGTGGGTGTCGGCGGTGTGGGTGGCCATCTGAGCGACGCCTCACTGTCGCCGATACAGCAGGGCGCCAACATAGTCGCCAGCAGCAACAGCTCGCCCTTGGGCCAGAACGGCGTTCCGCTGCTGACGACGATGCATCGCTCGCCGGACAGCCCCCAGCCGGAGCTGGCGACCATGACGAACGTGAATGTGCTCGATCTGCACACAGACTCCTCCAAGCTGTACGACAAGGAGGCCGTCTTCATCTATGAGACGCCCAAGGTGGTCATGCCGCCGGATGGCAATGGCGCCGGCAATGGAGGCGGCGGCGGCGGCGGACCCGGCTCCAATGGTGGCCACGACGATGGCCAGGTGATAGACGCCCGAATCGCGGCACAGATGAGCACACAGCACCTGGCGGCGACACAGCAGCAGCAGCAGCAGCAACAGCAGCAGCAGCAACAGTCGGAGCATCAGCCGCTGGCCAAGATCGAGTTCGATGAGAATCAAATCATACGCGTGGTGGGCCCCAATGGCGAGCAGCAGCAGATCATATCGCGGGAGATCATCAACGGGGAGCATCACATCCTGTCCAGAAACGAGGCCGGCGAGCATATACTCACGCGCATCGTCAGCGATCCGTCCAAGCTGATGCCCAACGACAACGCGGTGGCCACCGCCATGTACAACCAGGCCCAGAAGCTGAACAACGAGCACCATGGCGTCTATCAGACCTCGCCCCTGCCGCTGGACGCCTCCGTGCTGCACTACGGCAACGACAATGTGATCAAGACCGAGGCGGAGATCTATGAGGATCACAAGAAACATGCCGGCGGCTCGATTATCTATACCACCTCCGATCCGAATGGAGTAAACGTGAATGTCAAGCAGCTGCCGCATCTGACGGGCGTGCCCCAGAAGCTGGATCCCGAACTGTATCAGCCGGACAAGCACATCGATCTGATCTACAACGATGGCAGCAAGACCGTCATCTACTCCACCAGCGACCAGAAGGGACTCGAGATCTACTCCGGCGGCGACATCGGCAGCCTGGTATCCGACGGCCAGGTCGTGGTCCAAGCGGGTCTCCCCTATGCGACGGCCACCAGCGGCACGGGACAGCCCGTCTACATTGTCGCCGATGTCGAGGAGCATTTGCAGGGGTGAGTCTATCAAAATATATATCGATTTTTAAGGTAGAATCGGATGTAGATATTCCTTAAAAGGGTTTCCAATTTTCTTTACTATTTTGTCTATATTCAAGTTTGTTTTATATCTTAAGTAGATCTAAGTTAGATATTACAAAATATATAGCATAATATACTTATATAGTATAACTCTAACAGCAGGAATCAAGGGTTATTCTTGCGATTAGAAATCTTGGGGGATTATCTATTGATAAACATTTTCAAGTTTTACCCAAACGAAATTGTCGCTGCTTGTGTTTAGAATTCCATTTAATGCCTCGACTCTACATTCGGTTTGTTTATCTGAGTTTCCACATGATATATATATTGGGTTAGAAGCCTTAGAAGAGGTTGTTGATGGTTTAAACAAACAATTTTATATGATTTTTGAATAGTTTTCTCTTCCAGGCATTTATTGCTTTATCGATATCGATACAAGTGAAGACTCTTTGATATCGATAAATGTAAAAAGGACTTTTATCGATTTCAATTAATCAAAGTGAATAAGAATTTATCGACACAACTTAATTGCATTGGGCAATTACTAATGATATAATTAAGTACAAATTTAAATTGCTTGGGAAGTGTTTTATTACATTATATTATATTATTGAACAATAATAAGAACAGGAAGGATTTGTTATTATTATGCGTTGATTTTGTTTCTAGGCTTTCGTAACTGGCATTGTTAAGTGCTTAACTTTTCGCATTTCTCACAGATATGCATTGCCAGGGTTGCCACTTAATGCGAATTTGTCTTATTGTTAATAGGTTTCGTGGCTTTATAAACCATTTAATATTGTCGATCTTTAATTGCTTCTTTTAACTTTTGACGTTAACGTGGCCTAGTCTAGATCAAGTTATACAAACAGAATTTTAACGATAGGGTTGCCACCTGCCTCGTGCTTGTACTATTGTTCAATTTGTTTGCCTCTAAGCTTTCGTAATTATCTCTAGATTAACTTATCTCAGAGCCATGGACTGCTCCAGATTGTGATATACAAGGTGAAATATTAACGATAGAGTTGCCACTTGGCACAGTTTTCTATAATTGTTCATTGATTTTGTTCGAAGCTCTCGTATATTTTTGTGGCTGCCCTTCAATTGCGACTTTTAACTTTCCTCAATGGCATCTAGATACATCTATACGAAGGGAACATTAAGGATAGGGTTGCCACTTGGCACACTTTTCTTTTATAGTAAGATTTGCTTGTTTTTGAGCTAAAGTAATTAACTTTAGATAACTTTGAATTGCGACTCTAAACTTTTCTACTCTATTAATGATCTTTAACTGTTCTCCCTTCCATGGACTGCTCCAGATGGGGAAATAATCACGATAGAGTTGCCACCTGGCCCGATTTTCTTACCTCGATTTCGATTTTCAGCTTTCGATCGAGATATTCAAGCATAATAAATGATCGATTGATTTTGCTTATTAAACAGCTCGCATGTGCGAGCCCAGCCCACGGATCTTATCATAAATCTTGGCTAATTGTCGCACATGCATAGTTGGGCCCACGGCAAGAAGGAGAAGAAGAAGAAGAAGCTGCAACAGCTGCAGCTGCAACAACATCTTTATTCAGCTGGCAGTTGGCTGTTGTTTTGGTCCTTTTGGCATCAAATGTTTCGTCATTTGCATTTCTCATGCATTTGAATTAACCGCTGTCCGTTTTACTGTTAATTATTGCGATAGCCAACAAACACTAACAAGAGCAACAGGCAACTGGCAACAACAACAACTGGCAGCTAGTTGGAACGCCAGCGCATTCCCCCTATTTTAACCATGGCCCGAACATTTGGCCAGCAAAGCGCAATCGCTGGCAATCCTCAGACCCCATTCCCAAGGCGAATGACAGCTTCCGTTGTAACTGTTTCTACTATACGTTATTGCAACAACAACAGCCACAACAGCAACAACAGCAACAACTCTGGCATTTGGCGTGCATCGAATCTGCAAGTAGGCGAGAGGCTAATAATACACAGCCAAAGAGGCAGCCGCTGCCGCTGCCGCAGCCTCCACGCGGATGTGCCGCAGTTGCAGCCTGGCAATTCATTTTGGAGCAGCCGACGCCATCGTCGTCATCATCATCGTCGTCGTCGTCGTCGGGCTTTTGGTATGCGCAAGTAATAAAAATTTGAATATAAATTAATCTAATAGAGAACCGTTACGGCTCGACTGTGTGGCAAGCGCGGCAAGCGCAGCACCTCGAGCAAGGTGCTGCCTGCTGCTGCTGCAACACCAACTAAGTCATCGTCAACCGAATCTGCATGCCCCACCAACAACAACAACAACAACAGCAGCAGCATCAGCAGCAGCTTCTTCTTATTTTTTCTTCTAATGCCACGTCGATGGTCATCCTGTTATAGCGGAGGCTGCGACTGCGACTGTGGCTGTGGCTGCCTCAGCTGCATGCATGTTGCATGCACGCCAAGGTCCATAAATAACGACAAAATTGCGTTTCCGCATATGGACGACGCTCTCTGGACGCTGTCCATGGACACTGTGTGGACTCTGCAGACGCCTCTGACGTTTGGCATGCTGTTTGACCAACGCGCTGCAAGAAGCTGGCCCCAAAGACTTTGATGGCATGCCCGTTCTTTGCCCGACTCCCCGCCTGCCTGCCTGCCTGCCCGACTCCCCGCCTGCATTCTAACGAATGCGCCACATTGGTTGACTGCACCCGGCCTCAACCTCGGCCTCCATCTGCCTCCATCTGCCTCCATCTGGCTCCATCTGGCTCCATCTCAATCGGCTTGCGTGTTGGTGTTTGCCTCGCATGTTGTACAGTTGGTTTTTGCCTTCCTTGATATGTGCTTGTGGTATTTGGCTACAGTTTCTTCTAGTTGGGACACTTTTTTGCCTAATTTTTATACCCTGTGCTGTCAACTGATTGAGTAGGGTATACCGATATTTAAGAAATATGCTCTTCCTGTCACTGAGATTATCTCAGAGACAAGTTGACATCTAAAAATTAAATATACGGCAACATTTGTAGCTTACAGGGTATCTTCGAGTCTAATAGATAATAATAATAGAAGGGTTTTTTCTATTGAAGTATTGTATAATCAGTTGATTTAAAAGTTGCAAGTCTCTTTAAAATTTACAGGGTATCTAACAGTCGGTATTCACTAAAATACTGTTATGTAAATGTGCCTATTTAAGCATATCTCACTCTTAATGCTTTGTCAACTACGAATTTCATTAAAAAATTTTACATGGTATCTCAGAGTTAATATTCGACCAAACTAACTTAAAATAAATGTGTGCATATTTAATTATATTAAGTGCTCTAATTGTCATACACACTGGATGTTCTATGGTACCATTTATATTACAGAGTATCTTTCAGTTGAAGTTCGTTACAAAGAAATATGTTGACTGTTTGAATTATTATAATTAGGTTATTTTTTATGCGTTTTGTATTTAAGCAAAAAAGTAGCTTTTTATAGGGTATCTAGCATTCGATGATCTTACATTTACATATATACAAATTGCACGCTCTCTCTCTCTCTCTACCAGTTAAGACTCGGTTGAGATAAAGTGAAATAGATGCATCAAAAATTATACACGGCCTATATGGCGCTATAAAAACTTTTTCCAGGATATCTGCCAGTCGATATTTCCTTAAATTATTGCATAGTTAACCACATTTATCACGCGCATTCTATGATAGATTCTCTTCTGGTTGTACAAGCACTTTTAAGAATTTTTACAGAGTATCTATTAGACGAGACTCGGCTCAAATAATGTAAAATACTACTTAATTAGTCTTATCTGGCACTTTGAATTATATCGATTGTGTTGTAGTATTGCAAACCCTTTAAATACTTGTTACAGGGTATCTATCAGTCGATATTTCATTAAATTATTGAATAATAAAACACTTATATCAAGCGATTTGTTTGATAGATTCTCTTCTGCTTTTTCAAGCACTTTAAAAACTTGTTACAGGATATCCAACAGTCGCGACTGCTCTCTCAAATCACTTTTACGGACCGCGTGCAGCGCGTATCAGCTTCGTTCGTCTGCGTGCATCAGTCAGCGTTGACCTTTGCTGTTGACGCTCTTAACATTAACTGCAAATCCTTTCCCCCCTCTTCCCTCTTCCCTCTCTCCCTCTTCACCTCTCCCCTCTCTCTCGGGCATCTGCCTGTCACCACGTGTCCTACGTGTCCCTTTTTGCATGGATCGCATAAATAAGCTGCTTACATGCGACTACACTGCGCAGCATGTTTTAAGCTCTCCCAACCTCTCTCTCTCTCTGTCTCTCCCTCTCCCCCCTCTCTCTCTCTCTGCCCACACTTGGAGCTTTGCAAGCTTGATGAAATGTCAAGGCATTTGTGACGAAAGCTTTGATGATCGAAGCGCCAGCGGCAGCAACATTTATTACCAACATTATTCGGTTGAGTGCAAAGCAATGCACGATTATCAAGAAACATTGGATAGGTTTATTTATTGCTTAGGCGCTATAAAAAACAACAACAACAAAATGATTTTACGGCTTATGCATTTTCATTAAAAGCGTATTGTGCAAGAGGCACACAGACAAAGATATTTGTGCTCATATAACATAACATCCATCATTAAAGTCTCTCCTCAAGTCGATTTTATAATTCAATTAGCGATCTAAAGCAAAGTTCGCTGCCCGCAGGCTGCCCACCTGTCATCTCAGGTGCAGTTAATTTTGTGCTCTTAATAAAGTTCTCGATTATTTGGTCATTTTACGACTGTTCTCAGCCCGAAAATCTTTGATCTAGGAACAGATGAATTACTAAATATTGATCGTGCGTGCTTATTGACTACGCGAGAGAGTAGAGAGAGTTTTTGTGAAGTAAGCTTTGAGCTTTTAATACATTCGCCTTCCTACGACTGTTCTCATCCTGAAAGTACTGAATCTACACAAAATTATAGTAAAGTTTAGTTGAAGTCAAGCTGGGAATAATTGCAATCGAAACAGCAAAACTTGTTCGTTACC